ATGTATGGCACAGTATATGGCTAACCATTTTCTACCGAAAGTGCTATACCTTGATCAACTGTCCTGATCATACACCACATGTCAGACTCAATCCAGACAGAAAGCCTGAAGGATTAGTATAATTTTTCACCGGTGGAGATAAATAATTACTCCGTTCGAAGTAAAGACCGGTGTCAGGCAATGTTGCTTACTTTCACTCATTCGCTTTCTTCTGGTGACCGACTGCATAATGAAGATGTCAACACCTGAAGGAAAGCATAGGATACAGTGGACAGCTGAGATGAAGCTGGACGACATAGACCTCGCAGATGATCTGGCTCTTCTGTCGTACACGCAACAACAAGTGCAGGAGAAGACGACCAGTGTAGCAGCAACCACAGCAACAGTAGATCTCAGCATACAAAAAAGCAAGAGTCTCCGATATAACACAGCATGCAACAATCGAATCACACTTGGCGGAGAATATTTGGAAGATGTAAAAACCTTTGCGTACCTGAGCAGCATCATCGATGAACACGTTGGATCTGATGCGGATGTAAAGGCACGGATCGGCAAAGCAAGAGCAGCATATTTACAACTGAAGAACATCTCAAACTCAAAACACTTGTCAACCAACACTAGGGTCAGAATTTTCAATATTAATGTCAAGACAGTTCTACTACATGGGGCGGAAACCTGGAGATCTACGAAAGCCATCATCCAAAAGATACAGGTGTTTATTAACAGTCGTCTACCCACAATACTTCGGATAGGTTGGTCAAACACTATCAGCAACAACGTACTGCGGAAGAGAACAAACCAGATCCCAGTGGAGGAAGAATTGCTGAGGAAATCACGGAACTGCGTCACAAGGCAAGCCCATACATGGAATCCTCAAGGCCAAAGGAGTAGAGAAAGACCAAAGAACGCATTACACCGAGAAATGGAGACAGACATCAAAAGAATGAACAAAACTGGGTAGAACTGAAAAGGAAGGCCAAGGACAGAGTAGGTTGGAGAATGCTGATCAGCGGCCTGTGCTCCACTGGGAGTAACGGGCGTAAGCATGTAAGTAAGTGATAGGTACTGTTATGACTATCAAAGTTCGACTCCCGTAATTTGACCATTTGTCCAATTAGAGCGTTAGTTGACGAGAAACAATGATAAATCTGAGGGGATTCGCTACCAATATTTATACTCTGTCCTCCATCCCTTAGTAGCCAAACAGGTCCGCAACTTAGTTTTCAGTCCAACAATATCCCGACCATACTCCATTTTACGACGAGAAATAATGAACCGTCTATCTTTATCAGATAGCCAAAGAATTCAAGGGCTATTTCAAAGAGAAACATTGGGTGATGTGTCATCATCACAGTTTTCACATCACCTTCACATCTTATTGAGAGACAATACAGCGAGTGAAGCAGTCCTAAAACAAGGAGTACACAGGCTCTCTCATACTACGTTCAACACTGTTCGGATGCAAAAGAACCAGAAACTTCTCAACTTCACTTAGCAGTTATTACAGATAGAACAATTGAAAGAGGCCCCCAACTGGATCATGTAAGATACATAATACAAAAAAGAAGGATCATCAAAGGACCAGGTCATAGTAGAGCTTATCGTGAGTGTTAAAAATACTATTGATGTTGTCAGTAAAATGCAAATGGATGATAGAAACAGGAGCAGGTCACCACAGCGACCGAAATTCAAGTCAGAAACGTACAAACAAGCTGGATAGTTCTGTTGGTATCTCTGGAAGTTTGTGTCAAATGAAAACTGAAGGTCCATCCGTGTTTGTTTGACCCAGGAGATTATCACCAGACAAGCTTAAAATTACTGAGCTAAATTCAGCCACATGCTACAGCTGGGTATTATCCTTCCGTCTAATGGACATTGGGCAACCCCTTTGCATATGGTCCGGAAGAAAAGTGAAGGCGATGGACAAATGTGTAGGGATTACAGATCTCTCAACCGTCAAACAATACCAGACAGGTGCACAATACATCAAACCTAAGACTTGACAATTGGTTTACAGGGTATGAACACATTTACTAACATTAACTTGGTCAGGGGATATCATAATATCCCAGCAGTTGAAAAAGATATCCCTAAAACAGCTAATACTACACCTTTAGGTCTGTTCAACTTTGTACGCATGCCATTCGGCCTGAGGAACGCGGCACATATATTTCGAAAATGTATGGATAACCCATTTCGGGATATTCCTTTTGTATAGGGGTGTGTAGACAATTAGTTAGTTGCCAGTCAGGATGTCATATCACATGAATAGCACATGAGAGCAGTGTTAAAACGGCTAAATGAAAATGGAATGAACATACATCAAAGTGTATTTTTGGTGTTAGAACTCCAGAATTTTTCGAACACTTAATAAGTTCAGAAGGGATTGCACTGATCAAAGAGGTGCACATTACTAGACAATATCGCATACCAAGTTCTCCAACACAACTTAGGTTTCTAGGTTTGTTTAATTTTTATAGAAGATTCATACCCAGTTATGCAGAATTAGTGTTACGTTTAACAGATTACCTAAGAGGAAAACCAAAGGAATTTGAAATGACTTCTGAGGCTGTTAAACAGCTAAAAATAAGCTAGATCAAGTATCCACATTAACGTATACGAATTCCCATTCGCACAAAGCAGTGGCCGGTATTCTTAGACAAACTGGTTAAAAAAAGTCTGCGAACCGATTACGTTCTTCTCAAAAAGACCCACTTCAGAAGAGACGAACTATTCTGCCTTCTGACGACAAATTTTTCCGATCTACCTAGCCATTAAGCAATTTATATACACGTTGTAAGGTGGAGGGGTTATAGTTTATATGGATCGTGAACCACTAACCGACGGATTAAAAGCCAGTGCCGATGAATACTCTCCTCGAGAGACCTGACACCTTGACTATATATCACAAATCACCAGTGATATCCGACATGTTAAAGGTCAGTACAGTTAGGTGGCAGATACATTATTTTGGCTAGAAATGAACATAATACAACAATCTTCAGTAAATTTCGAGACGTTGAGAAACAATCAGAAAGAAGAACCTACTTATAGAAAAGAACTCTGGTTTCGAATTTAGACAGCTACCGTCGCCTATTGAAGATAGTTTGATTTATTGTGACACGACCAAGGTAATGCCTCAAAAGTTAGTCCCCAGAAATATGCGAAATCGAATAGTTAGTAACTTTAATACTTTGTCTCATGCTGACGCGAAAGCTACTATCAAACTGATTAATCCCAGATGTATATAGCCAATTTTACAAAATGTACAGAAATGGGTTAGAGAATATTCGGCGTGTCAACAACCAAAGATTAATCTTCCCATGAATTCACCCATCGAAGTTTTCTCATAATCAAATGCACATTCACCACGTTCTAATGGTTTCAGTTATCTATTTACACTCACAAACAAATTCACAAGGTTTCCAATAGCCATACAATTAACAGACATCACAACTGAAACAGTGGCCAAAGTTGATTGGATCTGTGTTCTTTGCAATCTTGTGCTACATTATTACAAATATGTGTTAGGTACTGATTACTTGTCAACAGAAAACAATATTCGAATTCAGTAACAAATTATTTATATTTTCAGTTTTCTCTTTGATATATCATAATATATTTAGACAAAAATAGGTGTTTTTACACAAGATCTACATTCATATACATATATATTCTGCACCATAATCAAACTATGATATTCATTTTCTACTATTAAGCATAGTTATAGAAAGTATCCTATACACCCACTTTCGATTACGGTTAATTTTGGTTGAACCCTTTTATTAACTTACTTATCAGTCAATGTTATTACAATAGTAACAATACCCATATTTTTTTGTACTGTTATAATCACTAGATCACATGACAGACTGTAGTTAAAATGTTGATTGCAATTTGACCATAAATTTGCCTATGTATTTGCCCGTTTCTTCACTTCAAATTCGTTCGATATGCTGTTTACAGCTTTGTGATCTACACTATTCCCTCCTAATAAATTCTAGTTGCCGCTTCTCATTTCTTTCTGATTTTAAACACCATTATGATTTCATATTATAACAGTTATCGAAATGATCGATTAATTAATTAAAACCACTATATATTAATTCCATTTAATGATTAGTATACAATTTAAAGAAACAAAAATTAAATTAAAACAAACATTTTTTTATGTATTAAACAAAATGATTCATTTAAAAGATAATCTTTTTATGTTTATCAATTTTAAAATTAAAAAAAAACAAACTTCGTAAGTCATTTATTTGTTTTAGTAAATGAAAAATTGTAAAAACGAGAGATTTATAATTTTCAGTTTAAAATATTCTAGATTGTTCTCAGTATAACTTGGACATTTATACTTTGTTTTTTTTTAAATAAAAAAACGCGCGCTCAATTTGACTTTTATTTTTCAAAAAATCACATAGAAACATTTAGTTATACTTTATAAAACTAAAACAAATCCCTTATTATTTTAAAATGTATAAAGAGAGAGAGAGAGAGAAAGTATGATTATGATGTAATGAGTTTTTAATTTTTGTTTAAATAAATTTATCTTATTATATATAGTTTTCTTTGAACAGTTAGTCAATTTCAATATTCATTTAACATTAATACTGATAATGTAAAAATCTTTTATAGAATACTAATCTCAATGGTTGAGATCATGAGTCAATTGAAGCTAGATCACCATGGAAAACCTGGAAGCAGTGGATGGAGGTTTCATCCTATTGTGTGACTCTTCACCGGCATGCACCCAAGACCCCGCCTTGAGGGATTCGAACCCAGCATCTATTAGTCTTACGAGCGAGCAAGCGAGAGAGCGCCTAACCACTAGACAACTAAGCTGATCGGTATCCAACGCTATTAATGTCTAACTTCAATTCATCCAATGGTGATCTAGCTTCAATTGAATCATAATCTCAACTATTGAAATTACTAATAATAACCACAGAAACCATTCTGATATAAAACAGAATAATTAAATAAATAAAAGAAAATTATTATTTATTATTATTATTATTAGTTTTAACAGAATTCAAAGATGGTGTTAATAAATTTTTAAATAATGATGTTTTATTTAAACGAGATGAATTCATTGTTTGTTTAGTCATTATTTTCATATTTAATGGTATGATTTCATTTTCATATTCTGTATCAAGATCATTTGATTTGTTTACACCTAATTTATGAATATTATTTCTTAATAATAAAAATTTAAGAAAAACAAAGAAGAGAAAACAATTGAGTAGACTCTTATTGATAAATTAAAGTGATTGTATAGTATATTCACAATAATTAAGGAATATAATAGTGTATCAGTTTATTTCTTGTTTTTGTTTTTTTCTTGACTTGAAACTATCCATACCAAAATGAATGAAACTATTTTTGTTTGAGGTCAATTAGATGGATAAAAAGGGGGGTCTGCTCATCTTTTAGTTACTTTGGATGTTTTAAAACACAAAAACAACTTCCACTTTTTTTGTTAAAGTGCATTGTAGTTATATTAATTTTGTATAGAGAAACTATATAGTTTTGCATACTAAATATATTTTTCTACGCTCAGATTAAAACTGATTGCCATGAAATACCTTTATTGTTAATGTAATGATTTACAGTATAGTTAATGAATTAATAAGACTGATACATAACTTCATTTATGGTTGAAATATTGTTCAGATCAGAATTGTTTGATCTACCTAACCATTTCAATTATTATCAATTATTTTGTGCACCTACTAAATAGTTTGGTTTCTAAGATCAATTCTCACTAAAGGAGTAATTTAGAGTACATTTAGAACAACCAGAATTCAGTACTAAACAATAAACTATCTGAAGTAGATAAGGTACGTAGTTTAGAATGTTTGTGTTATTTGTCATTTATGAAATAGTTGAATGCAAAACGACCGGAACTAATTAGAAGTAAGTAATTTTTTTGAATTAGTTAAAATTTATAGTAAGAAGCAAATATTTCTATAGTTATACGAACTACCTATCAATGGACGGATAAGTTGCATTACATCAAGAAATTGTTAAGGTGGGAAACTTTATTCAGTTATCATTAATAATTTGTTTACTTTTAGGACTGTTTAGTCTCATGACTTTGTTCGACTTATAAGGAAATATCCAAGTAAATGAATTAAACCGAAAAACACAATAATCTTAATAATTCATAAACTTCCTGATATATTTCTAAAAACAAAAATTACATATTTACTTTATACCAGTTTGATTATAAACAGTGTGGTTAAATAATTAGTTAATAATTACAAGACCATTCAATTTATAATGATATTACTAAGTAAACAGTCAATGTATATTGCTTAAGATAACACAATGACTGAAAAATGCAGTGAAATATTCGTATATATATTGATTAACTTACATAGAATTCTCTTGTGGTATATTATTAACTTGACCTCGTTTAAGAAGTCTAGGATGGTATAATACAGACTTCCAATTGTTTTGATTTATTTCATTTGGACATGATGTTTTACGTGGAGTAGGCATTAGGATTCTCTCGTTATCGGGGACTGAATTTATATCAGAAACTGATGAACTATCACTATTTTTTAACTTATCAACATCTGTACATTAATTGTGAAAAGAAATTTAGAATTAGGTAAATTCTAGATTGCAGTTTTCTAGAAGCTTGGTTTAAATGAAATACATAATATTAATTCAAAATGACCAATACTTTTATTTACAATCTAAAAACTCTATTTGAACAATTTGTAAATTGTATTTTGAGTGGTCATCTGAGTCTTATATACACTTTCTACATATTTCCACAACCAGCTACTTGAGTGAAGAAAAACTAGAAAAGACCTGTGTTCCACAGAAAATTAGGCCGGATTTTCAAACACTACTTTATATCTCTTCTCCCATAAAACTATGCCAAATCTTAATTAACAGCGTGCATACTAAAACGAATTCAGCTATGTCCACTTTGATGATGAATAATTATCCTATGGATTTTCTAAAGACAATAATTAAGAAAGAAGACTGGAACGATACTGTAAGGGATAAAGGGAAAGAATGGGTTAACATTGTGATGATCCCATATCATAAAAGGTTTTCAGAAGGGATCAGAATGGTCCTAAATCTTCAAAACATAAAAGTATTCTTTTGCACAAACAATACTCTAAGATCCAAACTGGTAACAATCAAAGATACAATTCAAAAGAAGGAACAACAAAATTGCATATATATAAAATCAAATGTAGTGATTGTAGTGTCATATATATAAGTGGAACATCACGATGACTGAAAATGAGGGGGAAGGAACACAAACTTTACTTAAAGTGCATTTCTAAATCCTCAGATGATACAAAAAAGCTCGAAAAGAAATCAAGGATAGCATTACATTCAATAGAGTTGGCCATACCATTGATTTAAATGGCACAAGAATCCTACAGAGAGGTTTTAGTTATTACAAAGAAAGACCAACAGCCGAAGCCCTACATATGTGGGCAAATCTAAATAGTATTAATAGGGGAGATGGAATACAATTAGCTGTCCCAATGGAACTAATAATTAATGAGTAAATTTGAACTCTTTATTCCATTTTATTTATCATTTATTATCTGTGCAGCAACAATCACATTCAGCTATTTTTATCAGTTGGTTGATGAACAATTAACTGGAACAGAGAAATGACACATTTATTCATTTATTTTTATTTTGTTTATTTATCTTTATTATATGTATGTTGCGACATGTTCGACTTATATTATGTATAACTATCGTATGATTTCTCTAAAAATTCACCGATCAGTGGCGATAAATAGTGAATGAAATTTCTTTACACACCTCAGATCCATTTACGAATAACCATAATTTGTCATCTTAACACACTTTTCGTTTCACACTACATGTCTGATAAACACTAAAGCAAATACCTACTTTAAACATTGTTAACATGATTGAATGATTTATTTACCATACAATTAACCGAATAATTATGTACCCATTTATTTTTGATAATTATGATGTTTGATTATATTGTCTTGAAAAAGCTTGGACCAGATTGTGGAGCGAAATGTCGCATTTATTTAGAATTTAACCGCTGAGATTTTATACAAATATATTTTTCTTCCTTATATACTATTAAAAGTTCCTTTATTCATTTATTTTAAATCATTATTAATCTTTACAAAATTAAATACAAAACATTCATAATGAGATCCTAGGATTAAGCACTTCTGTGAATAATAATATTGATAGTCAGTATAACACAAACTGTGAACTATTGTGTTGTCAAATTAATCCAATGGTCAGTTTAGTTCTTACTCTAATTTTATGTTTACATATATTGTGATATTTCTTGACATCTCACGGATACATTAAACGAAATCTATATCTTGACAGATAAATGAGATGAACAGAAACTGACAATTAATTTTAAGACAGCTTTCAGTCTAGATAATTCTGAGTATCGATAATACATTCTATGCCAACTATTGCAATAAGTGCTTACATATTTATATGTACAATAAGTGGGTTATACATTTATTTAAAAATCAATATATACCTTTGGAATTAATTTTGCTATTATTGTAAGTTGCATTGATAACGTTACCATTATTACTAATACTATGATTGTTATATAGTCTAGGTATTAAACGTTCATTAGGTTCATCGTTTCTTTTACTATCTACATCTGAATGATCAGATGATGATGATTGTATATGGTTTCCTAACTTTAGCATTGAATTTTGAATTTGATCATTTTGTTGACTTAATCGTTTTGATGGTACTTTTGAGCAATTGTTAATCCGATGTACTCTTTTATCTGTTGGTAGTAATTGACGTTTAATTGTAAAATTATTTTTCACTTTGTGATTTTGTATATCTTTATTACTTATAGATTTAATTTCAGTAAGATGACCCTAAAAAAAAAATTAAAGAAAATAAAGGTAATAAGGTAACATTTTAGTCTATAAAAACTATGAAAAACATAACAATGATGAGATTTTACAATTTTACTTAAAACTATAATTAATTAATTATCAACTATAAATTTATTCCATTTAATTATATTCTAATACTCATATATGATTATTTACTCTAAAGCTGTTCATAAATATTATGCAATACAACATGAAAAGTAAATAATCAAATTTTACTGTATAGTTTTTACTAATAAGTGAAAAATGAAAATGTTTGAATAATGCATATACAAAGTAGGAGTCTTGTAGCATCATTTTTATTTCGTTTATATCAGAAGGGGTTTTGTGGATGTGAATCATTTGAAGCTAGACTATTATGGAAAATGTTGTGAACAGGAAAACAAGAAGCCCTGACAAACTACAAAAGCTATTTTTCGGGACGTTATTCCATTTTATTCAAAGCTTGTAAAACTCTGACTTTTATTTTTGTCCCTAATCTATTCTACAGAACATAAGCTTTCGCTCGATGTATGATTCATTGCCATATCCTTTTTTTGTTCCGAAGCTATTGTAATTTAAACATAATATTTTGCACCCTATTTTCTAATCTAATTCCCAGCTTTGGACATAATTGTATTCTTCATAATTATCGTACGTTGTGGTCGGGTTATTCACTTATTTATTCATGTACCTTTCTACACTGAACTGAACTGAACTGAAATCAGGATATCGGGAATAGATCGAGTAGTCTTCCAGTTGTCTTGTTTTCTCTCATTCACGTGCTTGTCAGCCAATCAGGTGAAGGACATAACAGAAAACCTGGAAGCACTGGATGGCCGTTTCGTCCTATTTTAGGGCTTCTCTGCGGGGCACCTGTTGTGAGATAGTAGCTTACTGAAGACACTGGCGGATGCGTCGCTCAATTTTGTGGATTAGTTGAAGTTAGACATTAACACCATTGGATGCCGATCAGCTCAGTGGTCTAATGGTTAAGCGCTCGCACGCGAGACTGATAGGTTCTGGTTTCGAATATCGTGAGGCGGGATCTTAGATGAGCACTGCTGAGAAGTTCCACAATAGGACGGAACGGTCGTCCAGTGCTTCCAGACTTTTCATAGTGGTCTAGCTTCAATTGACTCACGATCTCAACTCTTTCATCTATGATTTAATAAAGAAATTATTGAAGACGAAAGGAATAAACAGTTAACACTGTATGATTACCATCCATTCAAATCTAGTTAATCAATAATTGGTTTGTATAACATTCAATAAAAATATGTTAAATTTACTTTGAAAATGAAATGAAATAAATTTTGAAGTCTATGAGTCTTTTTCAAAGTAGAACTTTCAGATTGTTCAGAATATAGAACAGACAGGAAAGTAGATTAGAATAATTGAATAATTTTAATAATAGAATTCATCACAACTATTTATTATGTCACTTATTTATTGAATTTGATAATTATTTACTGGAAACTTACTTTGAAAGACATTCTTGGTGAAACATGGTTTAGTGTAGGATGGATATCTTTATTGACAATGTTATTATCATTGTTACTTTCAACTGACAAATTGTTTGCTATTTTTTTCCTAATAGAATCGTTTAACGATGAAGAGGAGTTGTGCGCTTGTTTAGTACTTTGATTAGTCTGTTTGTTATTCCCTAGTACTACTGATCTGGTATCTGGTATTGATGAAGATGGACTTTTTGTTTGACTGTCACTATCTTGACATGTATTTAAATTAAAATCCTTTAAAGAAATTTAAACAAGAGCCAACAATTAATCGTGATAAATATTGACAATTATAATAGTATAAACCTTCCATTTTTATTGTTCATAACTTATTTTAATTATTCACTATTATGATTTGAGCTACTTAAATAAGTGTCTTTGTATTATTCATATTAATAAGTTATTTATGACCAGTGTGGTGGTTGGTAGTGGAATCTCAGCGAAATATTAAAAGTGTGATTTAAATAAAAATTTCTTTCGAGTTGTAAATAAGATTAACTACATACACTAATTCCGATTGTCAGCCACTGTCTAATATTCAAAATCATGATCAATCTGCAAAAAATAGTAATTTTTTTCAAATTGTATCACTGAGATGATTTTACGTTTTAGTACAAATAGATTTTTATATGGTAAAAAGATTAAGATTTTTTTGGAGAAAAAAATTTACTGATCGTTATTGCTGATAACATACTAAATAAAATTTTTACTCACTGGTTGAAGTCAAACTGGAGAAAATTTCCTATCTTTCCACATTTACACCTATGACGAACGGGTAACTATTAGCTAAATTTGGTTTTGCTTAGTTTAACAGTTATACATTTAATGTAAAATTAAATTCTGTATGATGGACAAGTATCAGATAGTGATCGACGTTATACTTTTGTCTTGTGCATGAACTACTCATCGAATAATCAATAGTAGATGGTATCACACACCCCACGTAATCTGCTTTTGTTTCATTATTAAATGTAATTCTAGTCTGCTCAAATATTTTGTGACCTTGTGTACCAATACATTTCCTTTTGCTTATCATATTTAGACCTTTAGTTCATATGTGTGCTTGACTTGTGTGCAAATCTATGAGCTTACTTATAAATTGTATCTTTTAACCTGCATTTTATGCGTAGTTTACTTTCGTTTACAACATGATCCCAACTTAAATATTGCGATTGGGCTGAAAAATACCTCTCTGTTCTGTATCTCTAGACAGCTTTCCAAATAAATGAATGGCTCAAATCTATCTTTCTGGTAGATTTTTTATATGGCTCTTATTATCACCCCTGAAAAATGGGGTTAGTTTAACTATATCCAAAATTAATTGAGAAATGAATAAATCATCATCAATATCATTGGTGTCAATCAATGGGAGTTAATTTAGAGCAAAAATTCATTTCATTTAATAATTAGGTCAATCATTTATATTAACTTAGAGATTTTATTTTCACAGTTTACGAAAATCAAATTAATCATCATTTTTACTTTACCTACCTGATAATGAGAAAATTGTGGATTAACTGGACGAAAATTAGTTAATTCATTGATTAAATTTTCATTTAATGAATGTTTTTCATTTTGTTGCTTCTCTTTACCAACATTATAATGTTCATAAATTAATAGACAGAAATGTAAACGTTTCATAATTGCATATTGATATGATGAACAATTATTCTTGTCACGTAGATATGGATTTGCTTTATAAAATTAAATGTATAAATATGCAGTGAAATTAAAAGAAAGGATAAGTGAAATGCAAAAAACAGATCATAAATTAGTGACATTATTTAAATAGTGCAATGAGAAGAAGGAGTTGATCTATTGGAATTTATAAAAGGGACTTATTTCCTTTAGTTCTGTTACAGAACTATCTCTATGACAATAATATCGGTCAGTTTTAAATAATCGAATAAGTAAACAGATGTTTTCATATAGAATCTATGATATTATTAGATTGAGAAATTGATTAAGAACTAGTAGTCGAAAACGTGACCAGTATTTGAAATTAAAGAATTATTGACTAACTGATTATTAAAACACTTTTCCAAATCAGAATGAATTTATTTGGTTTTACTTGACAACCGTAACAGTGAATGGATTAACAGTGTAAGGTCTATGTCCTTTTCCATGTGTTCCCTTTTCTTATTTCATTTTGTACGTTATATTATACTACTTACTAATGATCAGTAATAACTTCCAATTCCTATAACTTTCGACAGCGTAGCATGTTGTGTTTATCATTTACGGTGTAATATTATAAGTATTGACAAAACCTGATAGCATTCAATCTATTTATTATTTTAGTTGCGTCTCTTTGGCACCTGTAACAGTTGCTTTGAACTTTGATATACTCGTTTAACACTTGTTTTAGTGTAGAAATTTCCATTTTTGTGTACTTCATTCTAATTGTTTTGATTGTTGTCTACACTTGTTCGTACTTTTGTTAAAATTATCAGTGTCAAAAATAGGGCAAAATTTGGAAGTTGTTCAGTTATTGCTTACACTTTCTGAATAGTCTAAAAATAATCCATCTATTGTAGAAGTATACTACTAAATTCTGATATACTTCGAATCAGTTCAAAATAATTAATATCTTAATTTTTTTAAAAACAGAAATGAATGAAGCGTATTTTATTATTTCAGAATATATTTCTAGTATATTTAGTCACCATTGTTAATCTAATTCACAAATGATGTATAGTCACCAAGTCTCATAAAAATATTTGTTTGATCGAACTTAAGCGAAAAGACAGAGTGAAAGGACTGGATTAACAGGTTATGTTAAATAATCTATTAAAAAGTGTTCATGTTCAGTATCACCAATATGTAATATCAATGTGTACATGGGTAAAATATTGATGACTCAAAATAAATAATCCTTTTCAAGTAATGAAATCCAACTAGTTTTAATTTCAGTCAGTCTATCTAATATATTATCTGGTCAGTTTATATGGTCAGAGGGCTATTGTTAATAGTGTGTTCCAATGACCTTGAATATTCATATGAATAGAAGTGTTGGCAGGCATGATATAAAACAGATACATGCAAAGGTCCAATTATACAAGCTGTCGATACAATTATTTAAAAAAATATTATACATGATAGTAACAATGAAACCTTTATGACTTAACAGTAAGTTAACAATATTTCCATGTCCATTTATAGTAGCTAAATGCAAAGGGGTACGATTCTCATTATTGAACTGATTCAACAGTATAGCATTCGGTTTATATTGAAGAATAATTTTGCATGCATTAAGAAAACCTAAAAAATAATAGGCAGAAAAAGATTTTTTGATGATATGAGCATTGAGTCACTGATATAAGATTGTTGAAGATACAGTTAATTGATAATATTAAAAAAAATACGGAATGGATTAACTTAAATTTTACAAATATAACTGTAATCTGGTGGTAGTTTTTACCACTTTATTATAAAGGGAGAATAAAAGGCTGATATAAATAAAACCACAAACAAATAAAAACAAAAATTATTAGTCGTCATTAAAATAGACACCAAACATAGCTGATTATGTTCCAATGAAACAATCATTTATCGAAGTGAACAAAGTTGGAAAAACTAAACCATGCCATGGCAACTAGGTTGTTTGACAACACAGTACTCAATGAAAGATTTACGTATCACCAATTCAATCGTTAGTGGGGGTGTGGGTAAGCATTGAAGTTATGAGATCTCGAACTACGACGATAGATTAATTCACTGCACGACTGTATTCAATCCTGCATTAGTTAAACTTATACCGTAATAAAAATTCATTTTTATACGAATATTAGTCAATATTAGAACGAATAGTTTGACAGAAATTTTGCACCGAGTATAGAGATGTCATTGTATGCGGAGTTTAAATTTGAAATAATCTCAGAGATTGAAATTTAAATAATTCCAACGTTTCGTCCAACAAACTTGTTTAGAATTCCTCAGGATTACAATCGAAATCAAAATTGCCAAATAATATATAATATTTAATAATCAAATTTTTATTTTGCCTATCCAATCATACTCAGATGTTGACTTCAGTCAGTAGGATAACATGAATCAGTTATATGTGAATCATGTGAAAAGTTCACAATGTTAAAATAAATGAATGAATAATTGTGTGTATGTATAAGTTTGAGTTATTAATAGTTGATATTAGGCGTTAATTTGTTTTATATGAAGTAAATAAAAGTAAAGGACCCGACAGTATACCAGCTGAAGCACTGAAGTCAGACATCGAAGTAACTACAAACATGCTTCACCTTCTATTCAAGAAGATTTGGGAGGAGGAACAAGTGCCGATGGGCTAAAAAGAAGGACACCTTATCAAGATTACAAAGAAAGGATATCTGAGAAAATGTGAAAACTGCAGGGGCACTACACTACTGACAGTACCAGGGAAAGTCTTTAATAGAGTGTTGCTGGACTGGATGAAAGACGCAGTAGACGCCCAACTTCGAGATCAACAAGCTGGATTCCGTAAGGATCAGTCGTGCACAGACCAAATTGCGACACTACGGATCATCGTTGAACAATCAATTGAGTGGAACTCGTCACTGTACATCAACTTCATTGATTATGAAAAGGCAGTTGACAGTGTAGATAAGAGAACGTTATGGAAAAATTTTCGACACTACGGAGTTCCTAAGAAGATTGTCAGCATTATCCGGGACTCATACGATGGACTACAGTGCAAGGTTGTGCATAGAGGGCTGCTGACATATGTATTCTAAGTAAGAACCGGAGTCAGACAAAGCTGTCTACTTTCTCCCTCCCTCTTTCTTCTAGTGGCCGACTGGATTATGAGGACCTCGACATCTGAAGGAAAACATGGAATACAATGGACAGCTCAGAACCAATCAGACGATTTGGACTTCGCAGATGACCTAGCCCTCCTATCGCATACACACGAACAAATGCAGATAAAGGCAGCCAGTGTAGCAGCAGTCTGTGCATCAGTAGGCCTCAACATACACAAGGGGAAAACCAACGTCCTCAAATTCAAAGCGGAGAACAGCAATTCAATCACACTTGATGGCGAAACTCTGGAAGATGTAGAATCCTTCACATAACTGGGAAGTATCGTCAGTAAACAAGGAGATTCAGATGCAAACGTAAAGACGAGGATTGGCAAGGAAAGGGCCGCATTCCTACAATTGAATAACATATGAAGCTCAAAACAACTTTCAACCAATATCAAAGTCAGAATCTTCAATACGAACGTCATGGCAGTTCTACTGTATGTACGGAGCTGAAACTTGGATAACTACAACAACCACCATCAAGAAGGTACAAGTATTTATAAATAGCTATCTACGCAAGATACTCAACATCCATTGGTCGGATTCCATCAGCAACAGGCTTTTGTGGAAGAGAACAAACCAGCTTCCAGTTGAAGAGGAAATTCGGAAAAGACGATGGAAATGGATAGGACATACATTACACAAATAATCAAACTGCATCACGAAGCAAGCCCTGACTTGGAATCCTGAAGGGAAGAAGAAAAGAGAAAGGCCAAAAAACACATTATGTTGGGAAATAGAATCAGATATGAAAAGGATGAATAACAACTGGAAGGAGCTGGAAATGATTGCCTAGGACAGGGTTGGATGGATAATGCTGGTGGTTGGCCTATGCTCCTTCACGAGAAGCAACAGGAGTATGTAAGTAAGTAAATAAAAGTACAAGTTGAAGGTTGAAATTGTTTTTGAACAGTCGATGTTCGCGTAACATGAGAACTATCGAATATATAATTGTATTGCTAAAACAAACCACATTAATTTCAGTTAGAATAACGATGCATGTGAACTAAACAGGTTGGATAGAGAATAGGTCCAATTACTTGTTAACGAATATTTGCCAAGTAGTTGCTAGTTGAATACCACCCTTGGTGTTCAGGCTGTTCTTATTCGCCCATATATACAGCACGTCTGCTGTCAATCTTTCTTTATGTATGTTAAAACCTTTCTGAAGTATCTTGGTTCCTTCAAAATTTGTCTTGTGTCCTGTTTCTAAATCATGTCACGCTATCACCGACCTATTCTTATGTTTCTTCAGATCAACTGAGGATTCGGGAACATTTCGTAAACATTGTTTGTGTTCCTTCAACCTCACATTCAATTGTTTAGAAGTTTCTTCCACATAAGTTGCATTACATTTATCACAATTGATCACATAGATAACATTCTGTCGTTCTTCCCTTGGAAACCTATCCTTAACTTTCACTAATGCTGATCTTATGGTGTCACTAGCCCGAAAATATACTCTTATGTTTGTTTAGAATTTTCTTAAGTTCATCCAATGTTCCTCTACACTATGGGATGATCACGGTGGACTTCCAGTCTTTTGGTACACACTTTAATTTAGTTTTTTTTTTCATTTCTAATAATCTTTGAAAATTCTCTCAGGTAATTGTTAGCCGTAAGTGTAGACAAAATTCCATTCAGTTCAACTTGTTAGTCTTCTTTCTCCATAATCAGATCAATACTCCTGTTAGTTTATTTCGTTACAACTATGACTTTCGTACAATACTCATGAGCCGAAACCGTAATCTAATTATCTCTCAGAATGTGTTGATTTCCTGAATATATTAATTTTCAACTTATTGTTATGTCTTCTTTCGACCAAACAATCAAGAGAAGCTAGTTTTTGGTCAGTGGACTCACTTTCCTCGGTTAGCTTGATGCCCTCCAAAATGCTGTTTACATTTTTAAACACCTCTTCTGAACCACTTCGTTTTATGATGATGAAAATTTCATTTTCATATCGTAACCAAACTTTTGGTGGATTTACACATTTTGTGATCGCATTGGCTTTTAGGGAATTCATGAATATATTCTTTACAATGGGAGAAACTGGTTAATCCACTGCCATACCTTTCCGTCTGTAAAGGTCTCATCGGAATGAGAATAATGTGGATCGTAAACACAATTCAAGACACTTGATAACTTTGGAAGAATCTAACAGACGTCGTAAAGTCAAATCTGAGTCAGATTCTAAACAATTATAAATAATATCCAATACTCTATCAATATGTGCATTAGTAAATTAGGAAGAAACATGAAAACTTGCCATCATTTCACCCTATTCTATAAGGATGGTATATATATTGCTCTTGAAATCAGTAAAGTTTTGTTTCCATGATTAATCAATTTGTCATATGGTGTGAGTATCTTAGCTAAGTATTTCACTAGGTTATATGTCGGCGAATTTGTAAAATCAACCACTGGTCTTAGTGGAGTACTATTCTTGTGAATCTTTGGTAGTCCATAGAATGTACAATGGTTTCAACTTTTTAGATATAATACGAACAATAATGACAGTCCTAGTTTCATTTTAGTCGACTGTAAGGTTTTACTAGATCCAGCCTTAAGTTTATTAGGTGTAATCCGAATTTTCATTTCTTTAATTAATTCATACAGGCCGTCTTGGAGATGTTCCCTGGATTTTTTCTTTTAGTCTGAGATGTTCATGATGACAGTCGTGTTCCCATTATCTGCTCTCGTAACGACAATTTTCTTGTCGTTTCTTAGCTGTTTTAACGCATATAATTCTTTTTTAGTTAGACTAAACTGTATGTTTCTTGATGTTATAAAGTGACCAGTATTTTATTGCTCACAACATTCGCTGTTTCATTAAAATAGAAATTCAAAGCTGGTTTATTGCAGGTATAATATTGAATGGTGATAATCGTTGTCCATTTACATTGAAATTAAGACGATTTCTAAGCACAGGCATTTTGTGGGTAATTAGATTTCTATCTAACCAAAATTATGCGCCCAAGCGCACCAGATTAGGGTCCAGTGTGAGTTTCAACCCATAGAGGTGTAATGATGAGCCTCCACCCAGAGTCAGAGTATTCCCAATCATCCTGAACTAGGCGCGAGGTAAGCACAATAAATATTTGATTTGATTGTTAAATATTATATATTCTTTGATAATTTTGATTTTGATTGTAATCCTGAAGAATTCTAGACAAATTTGTTGGAGGAAACTTTGGAATTATTTAAATTCCAATCTCTGAGATTATTTCAAATATAATTTTCACAAATAAAAACTATTTTTAAAATCAAATAATCTCCACTAATTATTTAAAAATTTCCATCATATTAGAAGTTGGATGTGCCTGCTTGACTTAGTAGACAATTCTATAACGCGATGACGTTTGAAGCAAATGGTAGTGGGTTTGAGTTCAGGAGTGAATATCAACTCTGGGATGCTGGCGCATCCGACTGACAAGTTCTAAATAGGAAGCTTGTAATTTAAGGCAATATTAAGGCGATCCGCACAGGATACACATATGCCAATAAGAGACTGGTCAATTGCAGTCCTAGACATTAATGGGATGATTCATGTAAACAATAAAAAATGAGTTAAATATTATGAGTATTTATAAAACAGAATCGGGTAGTGAAGTCATTTCTTCTGCTGTCATATATCCATATAACGATATCTGAAATTGTGGAATGCGCATGTTAAGTTCATAAGTTAACCGGTAAAATGTAATTTTGACACCTTTCTAGAACCATGAAACTCATCAGATGACCAGTTTAAAGTTTACATAGTAGGAGAATAAATAGTCATTTATAGGCAGAGTTGGATTGCTGGCTGGCCAATACTCTTATAAATTCATTACAGACACATAGGTTATTTTGTTATTATTTGTTTACAGAGATTAATTATTTTAAAACAAAACGCTTATTTGTCAATAAAAGCTCATTTAAGATACATTTTCAATTGGGATTTGATATCGTTTCGTTTTAAACAAACTCTATCGTAATTTTTTAATATCAGTCAGATTTATCAAAAACTGAATAGAGATCGATGGAATAACGGTACTGAAATAGTTCAATGGTGTGTGAAAATTTAGTGATAATATAAAGTAACTTCGAATCTCTGAGAAGGGCATCAGTTGCCTCGAAACTGCGAATGAATTTTGGCACGTTCAGGGTTTTCTTTTAGATACGTTCAAACATATACCTTTAATCAATAATGAGAATAATACATATGTCTGCCAAGCATTTTTGCCGATTTAATATTTACTTCAGTTCAATTGATTACATTTTTGTATTTGGTCATTTGAAGTGTTGTTCTGCTACAATTACGTTTTATTTTAATAGATTCCCTTTGTCATAATTCTACGTATCTGTTTGAATGTAAATAGAATTAATAAAGTCACAACTTTGGAAGTAACATAATTAACGTTATCTACTCACAAAGGTATCAGTCATTGCTAACCAGTATGCCATGTAATGCAAAAGAGAGAGGTATGTAAAATGTATTCGTCAATCTCATAAAATTAAACAGAACATCACTTTGTATTATTTTGGAAAAGATCTTGCAAAGTTTATCATGTTTCGGTACTTATTCAACATAATTTATGATCCTCTGTCATCAGAAAAATATGTCACTACCGTGACGTTCACTTTTTCCTCAAAGTAATATATTTTGTAGGAAATTTTATTTTTCTTTATATAACTTGCCTTTCATTGCAGCATGATGAAGTGCATTTTGACCTTCTGAATCAACGTTTAATCCATACTCACTGTTTGATAAATACTAAAATTAATAGTGTGTAGAAATTAATTTTAAGTGTTTAAACGACTATTAAAATAATAATAATAATAATCAATAAATTTTGTTTACCATTTTGGGGATAGAATTTCTGTGGTAAAGTTATTCACAAGTTACTCAAGCAACAGCAAACAGAAATTTGGACTTCATGATTATAATGACTTTTAAAAACGTTATTTTAAATAGGTATTGCACGAAGAAGATAGGTCATTATTATGCTCATATAGAAACTCTAAACAATGTATTAAGCATTTGTAATAATAGCTTAACTGGATTTAGATCAGTATTTAATCCAACCACAGTTTAGATATGTCGCTAAAATCGGACCTTCCAATCTGACATGTATTTAAGAGAGGTGTTAGACACTTGCAAACCATAGGTACCGTTTCTAATTTGTTGCTAGAAGTCACTGCTCGAGTATTTCATTTCACAACACACATAATATTTTGATGTCTTAAGCTAAAATGCAAGTACAGAGACAATACCTGTTCTCTTAAATTCTTATCTTGTTTGAAGCAGCTGAGGTTTGTTTCTCCAGACTTATGGAAGCTCCAGATCATAATGAATAATGATAATATCTGGTTCAGAGTTAACAGTGATCTATCAACTAGTAATCAGAAACAACAATTGTTTCGAGAACATTCATTCATGGTTTTCTCCCAAACGTTAACTGAACGATTCCTAGATGAAGTATGTTATTCGACATTATGGGAACTGAACTTATGGCAAATTTTAAACAATTCGGTTTTTTAATGGATTTAATGAGTAAAGTGAAAATATTTTATATAACAGTGGTTAAGTATAAGTTATTAAATATTCAGAATAACTAGTGATAATGAACAGTCGGTTTAACTGCATGAAGATGATTTCATTTTCTACACTAATATAACGTACATTGAAAAGACTTTTAACTGTAAGAAAAGTACATTGTATCCGACGGCCACTGATAAGAATTTATAACCCACTATGAATAAAATGGCAAGCCTTTTTGAATAAGCGTTCAAATTCTTAAGAACTATCAAGTACCGGTTACAGATTAGATACATCTCAGTGAATTTCGATAAACAATACTGGTGTCATGTATGATGTTAGGATATAAAATGAACATATGATCCATGAATAAAAACAAGAGTTCAGTCAAACAAGCAAGAAGAATAAGAAAAGCTAGTTATTCAGGTTTATATGAAAGTCTTTAGATACTTTATTTTATTTAAAAGTAACTATCAAAAATAAATAATATATTTGGGTAGAAAAATCAGTTTCTTGTCGTTCCTTTGTACTATTTAAACCTGAATTAATTTCTATTTGGTTATTCATTATCTGAAGAAGTGACTTACACTGAGTCACGAAACGTCAGAAAATCTAATTTTCCTAATCATTGGGATATTTCAAATATACTAATTTATTTATAACAATCTACCCAATGCTCAATTTATTCGAAATTATCAAGTCGAACCTTGTTAATGATACCTATCTTTCAAAAAGAAAAAATATGAATAAAGTGGTCATAATCCAGAGAACTATAAGCTTTTAATCAACTCACTATTTCGTTAGGGTATCAAAAGGAATTTTGTTCACCAGATGTGTCGTCTATCTAAATCCGATAATCTTTAATTTTACCTTCCTTAAAATAAAACAAAAATTCAACAAATTTAACAGATGACCAATTTCGTTGCTATGTTTATCAGTCTAGAAACTATGAAGTTTTATTTTAAGGTTGCCTTTATTAAATAATCTTGCTTAATTAAAATAAAGTAATTCATTGATGATAATTAAGAGTTTCATGAGACTTTAGAATAGTTTAGAAATTCTGTTTAGTATTTGAATCTCTAATGGAATAAATATAAAATCGTTTTAGGAATAATGAAAGGTTCTTTTCAGAAAAACAAGATAACTCACTTCTAAACATTTCAAACGATCATCTTTCAATAAAGTATGGTGTATTAAATGATAACCGCTACTATCATACATCCATTGTTTTTCTGGAACACTTCGAATTTTAGCTGCCTATAGTTTAATTAGTTAAAATAAAGGAATAATCAAAGTTTTAATGCATTCTATTGTAATCTGATTTGATTCGCTAGGTAATCGTTCTAATTACAAAAATGATATGCATTTAAAAATTACTGGTAATTGAGAAGAGCAAACTAAGAATAGGCCAAATTTTCATACTTTTTACAAAACAGTAGGGAAATGAACCTACCTTCAACAAGATTACTAGGTTTCCTAATCGGTCCGACTGGCAAGCCCATATAATTGGTGTTAGACCATATTCATCACGAACAGTAAGATCAGAGCCCTGTAGTATCAATGTCTAGAATGTATTAAAAAATATCATTACTACTGAAACTATAAGCTGTATTTTACAATTTGTTTTTCTACAAAAAGCTGAACAAACCTGAATCTGAAATAACAGAAGTGGAACAGGTCAATTGAGATCAGAGATTAATTACAAGTTAAAGAAGGTAAAATAATATAAATATTGATGAGAGACCTGTTTTAAGTTTATTGTAATAGAGACTCAGAATAATTTTCCTTTGAACTATGTATGAATGCATCTGCAATTGTGACCATCACTTAAACAGACTGTAACATAATAATTGAAAAGTTAGACTACAGATTAGTTTTCTGTGTTCATTAATGTAGTGTGAACCAAATAGGAAATACTACCGTCGATGCGGATCCATATGGCATAATGCATTCTTAATTACTAATACAAAATTTAGCTCAAATCTCTGATGAAAAAACGTAACTGTAAGACCAATCCGTCGAACTGTTAGAGAGTGCTTTAACAAATTTGAAGTCATTAAAATTATGGAAATGAAATGATGTCATTTCAGGATGTTAAAGAAAACTACTTTGTAATCTACGTTAATTAATTTCTGGACAGTGGAATCAGAAATGTTGTCTTAGAGTAGAAAGTGAACTAACTGTCAAAATACTTTGGTTTTCTTATTAAAATGTATGGAGAACATATCTGTATGTATTCAGGTATCATAAGTATTAGAAATGTACATCTAAGCTGTCTACAAATGTTCTGTCTGTTCAGAATATCACAAATTCTGAAAAAACTCCTCAAGAGCAGATTATCACACTTTTACCAATAAAGGTAAAGTAACAAATGTTATGTGATAATATTACAGACAAGTTTAATAAAATGTCATTTAAGCCTTAGCTTTACAGAGTTCGCCGATCTTTTTGTCAAAGAAGAGCAGTCAGTGAGTTTACATAATAATGGTATGTTTTGGTCTAATTCTTTGCTCTCGGTCTACCGGAAATTTCATTTCTGAATAGCTACTCCATCTGATGGAGCTCGTAAAAACCTGAAGCTTTAAAATATTGTATTCCCTAAATGTCAATAAGGACCTCCGTCAATAATATCTGTGACAGTAACAATCTATCAACAACTGCTACTAATTAGAATTTAATTGAAGATATAAATTTATGGCTAAAACACAACTGAACTGAAGAGTTGAACATTGAAAAGCATTAAAACTACCGAAATCTCTCACTCGGTATTTTAAGCAATGATGTAATATTTTAGTTCATAATATTTTAATCGCTGAAAAATTCCCATTATATTAAAACACAAAATTGTGTTTTCATAATATTTGTGCTCGACTAATTTAATCAAACTATACAATTTTATATCATCATTGAGTACTATAGTTGACAGACTCTGTATTTGTCTTGTCACAAATATAAATAAACAAATCATTTTAAAATCAATATATATTTTCTCTGCACTCTTCTTCTGCATAATCTACTCAAAATATGTTAGCTTGAATTTTCTATCTAATTTAAGATAGTTAATTGTAAAAGCAATGCTGTAACTATAGTCAATTGAAACTAAATAACCCTGTAAATATATAATTAATTTTAGTTAAGGTTAACCATTTTGTGACCTAAAATCAACCTGAGCACTAAGAATATTGACTCATGCTGACATAAATCAATTCAAATAAAGTGTTTAATAAAGTTCTTCACGTGTCTATAAATACAAATATTTAATAAGTTATTTAAGTGATACTTCAAAGTATATTTGGAAATGAATTCGATCCATCTAATTTATAGTAAAAAATATATTTGTATGAAATTTATTACTTAGTACTTTTGTATTGGTCATTAAGAATTAGCTAGAACGAAGTCATCTTGCTTCCATTTAATGTACATTAACAGTAACAAATATTTCGATGTATTATGCTTAAAACTTGTTTACGAATATTGGTATTTTCAGAGAGCGATATAATATGTTTTCTTGATTAAATTTATTTCTGAAGTTGGTTTTTAATGTGAGAACGTTTCCAAGAATTTTTTTCACATATGGCTTTGATATATTTGTAAACAATCAGTATGAGGTTCTAAACCTAGGTCTCGTTTACAACGCAAACGTCATTGGTAAGGGAAATGTATCTGTAATCTTGAGAAACCTGGTGCTACTAATGAGGCATGTATTCTAGTTACCCGCGTTGTAATTTAGCTTTAGTAAAATAGTTTTTTGGCAGTTCCAGGTTTTCCATAGTTGTTTATCTTAAAGCAATTTGTAATTACAACAACTTCCTTATTTTGATCGAAGAGGGTTCTGGGTTCGAATCTCGCGAGGCGGGGTCGTGGATACGCACTGCTGAGGAGTCCTATACTAGAAAGAAACGGCCGTACAGTGCTTCCAGGTTTTTCATGGTGGTCTAGCATCAATTGACTCGTGAATTCAATTATTAAATTCCCTGTTTTAGCTGAATAAATCAGAAAAAAATGCAGTGAACATTTTGTATCCTTGAAAACGTTACGGTTTAAACATATACATGTACGGAATTACGTCATTTCTTATCTTAGATTCTATTGTTTTAATAGATTGTCAAAATGATCATCTTGATCATGAAATTTAAGACGTTGAAATACTCGCACAAAAATACAGTCTGTCAGTTCTGTTCAACGTAGAACACGTCACATATGTGTATATATTCAAATGGCTACACAAAGTTTGAACCGCCGTGAAATTACCAGAATGAATTCCATAGTAGTAAAGTCGGTAAGATTAGCAGAAGAAAAAATTATTCGATATGGACTATATGATTCTGAGTGAAAGGAGTTCATGGGATCAATATATATAATTTTGAAGATCAGCATTAAAGAAAGAAAAGGAGTAAATGCACCTAAGTTGTTGTGAACTATGTTATGCAATTTCTAAAACCATTGGTGCAGGCAACCACATCTACCCCATCCAAGTGTACTTCTCTTACCTATATGAATCATTTGAACAGTCACTGCCTTCACGGATTGCTATTGTGTCTGAGTCTATTACCTTTAGTTTTCTTCCAACCAACCACTACACCACACAACATTACTTATCAAGGTAGGCGATGGATTTGAATTCTTAATACCTGTTTTGTTCATCTTAATCATCGAAGGCCCGTAACGTCAAGAGTCGACTTCTGACACTTAACTAGTATTTTGAGTTTAGTTACAGCACTACTCACACAACTGTCCGAACACACAGAACCCATGCATAGAAGGAAGCAATTATAAAATAATAGTAATCTACAAATATCTACTTTTGAAAGCAACTTTTTAAAGCTAGAAACTTAAAGGAAACGAACTGGTTCTTGTTTTTTAATTGGTAGACAAATGTGTCCTACGTCATAAGAGGAGTACATTTGCAAAAGCTTACCAAACTTTCTGAATTAGTACAAAAATTTCATCACACGCTTAATCCGACAAAGCGTGATTATTTGGTCTACACACTCATATCCAAGTCTGAACTTATTCTGGTTCATCCAGGTTCACTCTTCACGAGACTAATATCTTGGACACTAGACTATTCATATTAATTCCTCTTCGGTTATTTTGAAGTCAGTCTATCATTTTTCATAAAATGGAACGATCAGCGGTTGAGACTAGTCAGATGGGTTTACGTTCAGTTCTCATATCCTAGTCAATATCTCAGTCAGCTTAGACGCGGAAATTGTACCACCATACTTAAAAACCTCGAAAGTTAAATGATCAGGTCATTCTCCTTTCCCTTGTTTTGAATTAGCGATGGGTTTTTCAACTTAATCTGAAGTCGAAACATGATGCTGGCGTCCCATTCAGGATAGGAAGAAGTCACTTTGATAATTACTCAGTCATAATCATCGTAAATATCTCATCCCTATAGGCAGTCAGTTATAGCCCTAACAACTGAGAGAAACTGCTTTAGACGGTAAAGCAACGTGATGTGCATTAGAATCTAGCGGGTAGCTTTAGTTTTATAAGAATTTCACTCACAGCTTTCTGAAGCGTATCAACCCAAATGAAACCCATGCTTAAATTTCTCTATCAACTACGTTTGACCATCCAACACATTTTCTGGGAAGATTGAATACTCTTAATGAAACGTTTATTGGCAATCATTGCTATGTATACAAGAAATAATTGGTCATGTAGAAGAGATATTGTGTTTCTGTGAAAAGATCATTTCTTGTGATTTTTTCTTAAAATGGCTTGTACTGGTGATTGTGCTTGTTTTTATTTATAAACGATATCAGCTTCATTCATTTCTTGCATGAGGCTTTTAAACAAATCTGCAATGATTGTACATTATATTTAGCCCATTAGATACCAGACTTTATTTTTGGTCACCTACGCGAGAAAATTTCACATGGCTGTCAAAAAAATGACTAAGGGCTAAATGCTACTCTTACATTTTATGACGCTAGTATTCATTGCTCTGTGACGATTTTTCTGTTTTAAAAAAACGCATCCATATCTTTGCTGATAGCAGTACGTACCGTTTAGCAGTGTGAGTTCATTTTTTGAAACGTTTTGGCCTTAGCTTAGAAGCATCTTTTCCAGTTTGAAACTGGTGGGTGGATGTACTAAAGATAAGCTAACTTTAATAATAGCCATCTCTTCACTACATCTAATCTACGTCGCACGTAACCTTCTTTAGAGCGGCTAACTGGCTGCTTAACTATAATAATAATAAAATACACGTCTCTTGTAAGAAATCTTTACCGACCTGGATGGCTTTCATTTGCTGTTGATTTAATCGCCTTATCAACCATTACAAACCTGTTTATATCCATGAAATAAAGTTTTTAAATTGTAAATACCATTACTGTTTCAATATAACGTTACTCTATGTAATCTCGGTAGTTACAAATATGACTGTACAGATACATAAGATAGTGTGCAAATTATGCTCTTCCCTGGATTATTTTGGTGCATAGGCAAACATCGTATACCACGATCTAGATAAAATCATGCAATTTATCACACCGTCATAAAATATGTAACAATTCACAGTTAATAGTCAAAATCACTACAATTGAACTAAAATTCATCTTGAAGATGTATTTACAACTATGAAAAAGTCAATATCAAGGAACCTCACTTTCACGACACTGAAACGGAAATGTTCTAGTTCAAACTCAACAGTAAAAGATATCTGAGAATGCACATTTGTTGTAGATGTTATTAAAGAATGATATTTGAACAAAGGACCTTTTTAAAAATAAATTTATTCACTGTTTCATGGCGACCAATGCTTGTCACTTATTGTACAAGGAATGATGCATAATAAAAAAAGAACTGCATTTATAACATACTTGAACACATGTCTGTGAGCCCCAATAAGCCGCATAGTGAAGACTGGTTTTCTTTCCACTTCTCACAAAATTCCTGGTTAATTCATTTTGCTTTAGCTTAAATACAATTTCATCTATTTCTCCGTCTGTTTAGATGAAATGATATTTAAAACAGGAGACTATAATTGCATAATAATACATTTTTTAATAAACACATTATTAAAATACGAAAACGTTATAATGAGAGGGAAAACAGTGAAGAGAAGAAACGTTCAGTGATCTGTTACTTTACTTCAGTCCTTACCGTTTTTTAATTAATATTCGGTTACCTATTCCACAGTAATGACTCATTCATATTGAATAATTTCACAATTTAATCAGTACATTTGGTAAAAGTTACTGAATATTTAATAGTCCTGATGCTCCGCTGTTAGATGAAATTTTATCTGCGTTTTACGCTTTACATTTAAATAAACATTTGACCAAATCATTGCAAAAGCATTAGGTTCGAAATATTTTTCAACTAATATTACTCAGTCCATCTAGTCAAGAATAATAGATTTCAGATACTTAGGTAGCAAATCATCAGTGAATTAACATATCAGCTGGTATATATTTAGTAATGACTGTGCTTGTAAGATAAGTGATATCTCCATATTTTTGACCACTAATGAGTTTTTCAGTGTTGGATATATGTCTTATTAATGACTATGCTAATAAAAAGTATAGATTCATGGTTTTTAGATTAATTTGGTGATAAATGCTATGTTACAGACAAACAAGCTATGATCAAATAGTCTAAGCGATACAATGACTTATCACTATACATCAAAGTTATTGTTTGTAGGCACGTATAAATTCCAGAACACTATAGTCTCCAGATTATTCAGAGTTGAGGCAGAACGGTTATTTAATTACAATTAAAATGTTTAAAAAATTCGGTTGGAAGACTATTTGTAAACTGTTACCTATAAGTCAGGATAAACGCCATGTTGATTAAAATGTTCTAAGACTGATGTTTATTCCATAGCTCTCGAGGATGACAGAAAAAATATTCTCAAATCAAACAAAAGCTTTTTACCTAGCATCCTGTAAACATGAGCTAAACGGCCATCGGACGTGAGTGTCCATTTGAAGTTACGGTATTGAATCAGTGCAAAAAGCAAATAGCTACGTATCGTTAATAGAGACAGTGCATTACAAAGGAAACAAAGTAAGACATCTTCCAAACTTCAGATTCCTAAAGTTTACATTATTAGGTAATTTTACTTGAAATGTTAATAAGTTAAACTAACAAAAAGTTGAATTCTATATCACATGTTAAGGAGGCTTTGAAATCGTACATTATCGTGACAAAGTGTACGAGGCTACGTATTTGGTGATTATGTAATGACACTGACTTAACCAAATAAGAGTTCATAAACCAAAATCAATTAAATCTTCACTGCTGGTTTTCGGCAGTTCTTTATGTCATCTTAGTCAGCAACCAATTCTAACTTAAAACTAACCAAACTGTACATTCACTTTCAAATCGGTTGGTTTCGAGTCTTTTATGCCTATATACATCGTTCACTTATCTTCATATTTACATACTTAACTTTCCTTCTGCTTAAGAAGGACGCCCAGCTGAATCTGATCGAATTACTTGAAAAATTATGAGAGCCTTTCTCAAAGCTCACTAGGTGATCAGTCGTAAGTCACCTACAAAATAAAATATGCTAACCTTATGGGCCATTGATTAAATGTCATTGTCTCGGATCGAGTTTGCATAAAACAAAACCGTGCATAAATATCTAAATTTCGTAATGCCGTGGATAAAATGTATATGGAAACAGAAAAATAAGTAATGCACTACCTTGTAATTTTTGAATGTCTTTTCCATTGGGATCATCGGGTAAAAGACCTGTATAAAAATGGTCATAAGGGAGGCATAAAGAACAAAAGTCTAAGTAGTATATCATAATTAAATGCATGACACCAACCCTTTGGGATATGTGGAGTATCGATGTCTGAGCATGGGGTTGAAATTTCTCGTTTGCATTTCACAAGACTGCTATCCGTCTAAAATGTCGAGGGAATTATCAATCGACAAAACTTTTCGTACGAATTTTAAACATTTTTTAGACTGAAGAACCACGTAATTGATTGAGTCCCTCAATTCAGCGAAAATCGAGTCACTTGGGATGGTAGGGCTGAAAGATTTGAGTTGTTGTAAGATGACTTTAAGGCTGTCTTCTAGCTTTGAGCGGTCATTCATTCGTCTCTTATTTTTGTTCGTGTGTCAAATTCAATAACCTGGAGAACGAGTTCTCTATTAATAGTCCGTCATGTTTTCCTACATGGGAAGTCATATGTAAAGATCTAGAAACATTAGCTATCAGAAGCAGCAATCAGATGCGCGAGGTTGAGTGAACAGTAGAAATAAAGAGGCTTTTCATCGAACCATATCACTTGAAACGAAAAAAATCACTGGACCATATAAAAGATATGATTAATAGAATGAAGATATAAATGCTAGTTTGTATGTAATCTATAAGACATGAGGAAAGCAACAGACATTTTTCGACGTAATTGTTCAGTGATTATTAAGACGATAAAGTTTAATCGAAAGGAATATACATTTAGCGATTGTTAAATGAACAAAGACAACTTGTGTTCAATGGGAAACCGCAGATGAAAAAAACTACTGATATATGTTAAAACACATAAAGATTATAAAACTATTTTCGCCGAACATCAACTAAGTTGGTGGATCGTGGAAACACATACAGATAATGAAAAATAGACGAACGACCACTATTCATAAACAGTAAGACTGAGAAGAATCTAAACAAACAGGTCTCGCTCAATCTCACCACGAGAATGTCTTTAGAATTAATATTGAATAGTGAGTTATAATGAGGCTACCTCACTTAATATCATTTCACAAGTCAGACAACATCTTCTATTGTCAAAAATATAGACGATAGAACGGCGTTTATTTAAACGACTGAGTCACATTTTTCAGCTATGCTGATTCCTTAATATTGTTCTTATGTATTAAATTTTGAATCTCCAACTTTAATACTTTTACATTGTTGAATCAAAAGACATTCTCTCCTCAACTTAATAAAGATTATGAATTCCAATATGTGCTTCGTTATTTCAACTTCCAATCTATTGATGACATCTGCATTATTTTGGGCTCGTCACTAGATTCCTGCAGGCCATTTTAATTATTAAAGTGAAAAGATTACCAATCAAAGGAGTTGTCATCTCAACGACGTTTTTGAAATAACTTGGTTTTTTACAGATAGCACGTAATGAGTTTCACCTAATTGAGACACGACCAAGTCGTGTCTATTCGTCTGGGTAGCCGTTTTGGTGGATTTCAACCTCAAGATCCATCACTCAACATGAGCGATTATGATCTCCATCGGCCATAGAGTGGCTTCAGGTGAATTTCCAGTGAAACTGGTTTCGCTATGGCTTGTTTCATGCAGCTAATTACTGTAAGAATGCCACAAGTATTTATAGTTTGACAACACTTTAACCAGTAACTCGTTCTAAAATGAACGTATCCACCAAGTGAAGTTCAAAGTCAGAAGCGAGGAGGTTTGAAAATATATTTCATGGGTTATCAGTATATCGAGAAGCAACTGATCTAAACTGGCTAGCGGTTGCGGAAGAAGTTGAGCACTTCGTTCCCACTCGTGATTTAGTGTGGACGCATGACAGAGCGCCTTCAGCTAGGTGAGTCCATTAAAATTAATGTGCTAAGCATCCAGTACAGAAGACTTCCAAAGTTATTGATTTTGTGGATTTACTTACCGCTACGACCTTCAAGCTACCTTGAGATAATATGAAACCATCGCGTTGATTAAGTAAATGGACAAAAGAAGATCGGTAACAACTTAGGTTGATTGATTATAAGTTGGCAGAAAACATCTGGGCAATGTCGAATCCTTATAGCTCAAGCGTTCGTTTACTTTCTTATTTTGTATAGACACTATGTGTATTATTATTTATACTGAGTATTGAAAAGTTGGTGCTTGAGAAGGAAAACCTCACGCTCCAACTGCCCTGATTCATAGTCTGACTAGAGACCTGTCCAACCACTAATCTGGTTTTTCAATATATATGAAGAGAAGTACCCACCGGCAAAAATTAAGGATGAACCTTTCAAAATCCCACATCATGTACATCAGCAAACAGTATACGTTACTTGTGACATCTGTTCCTCATGAACATCCACAGATCTTGGTATATGTTGCCACCTGCACAAACACTAGCAACAGATGACGTTGCTTAAAAATTCACTACGCATCATTCCCCCTGACAAAGTTATCTGTTATTGTCAGCATCTCTTTGATTACTCATGCCAAACTCACCTCATTTACAAAGGTTTGAAACCGAGAGTGACTCAAGAACGAGTTCAGGTTGAAATACCTTTCTCTTTACAACACCCTCATATGTCTACTTAGAATTGTTTTATACTGTTAGGAATGCACCCGATTCCTCAACCTCCAAAGCATAATATAATGAACCTTTATGAAAATGGTTAAATCTTTCAGAGACAATTTGAATGCATGAGATGTGAGAGGCCACTGGAGTAAAGTTAAATGCATAGGTAAACCATATCCCAACCTAAGATTGTTTCAACCCAGTGATAGATAAAGGTGAGTTTCTTCACCCGTGCCAGTTATATCGGTGCTGATGTACATCGCTTCACCGATAGTCACGTTTATTTCTGACCTGAGTGTATACCTCGTTAAGCTAAGTAAACACGCTAGATTTTAGTCCTCCTCGGAACCTTTAAAATCCAAGATTGATGTGCTTCAGGATGCCACGGTCAATGATAGACTTGAAGATGACACAGGTATTCAGTGTTTTACAACGCTTTTACCAGCAACACCTTCTAATATAAATTAAACACACCAAGAGAAATCAAAAGACAGAGTCGAGGAGGTCGGGCGAGTGTATTTGGCGATAACCAATATATCGGAATTCTCTGATCTAATCTGGCTAGCGATTGCGGTAGATGTTTAGCACAGCATTGCCACACGTGATCTGGTGCGGACGCATGACCGAGCGCCTTCAGCTAGATGAGTCCACTAAAACATATGGTCAGCATCCAACGTTGAAAGCTTACAGAGCTATTTATTTTGGGGGATATATTTACCGCTACAGATCACTCTCCCCTAGCGGAGCAGTGACGACCCAAAGACGTGGCCAACCAGAAGTTTAAACCCAACGAGTCTGTCGTTGGTAAATACTCTCCTGATAGCTTACTAAGTTAAGCAGCGTCTGGTCTTTCCTTACTATATGGGACCGAGGTACAACACAGTAAAAAAGAAAAAGTACAATGAAAATTTTGACTCCTCGTAAACTTCATCGTTCTTTTCGGGCCGTCCTGGAAAAAAAGGAAAATGTAAGTGCATATCAAAGTACACTCGTATGTGCGTAAAAACACAATGTCGGCGTAAAAATGGAAAATAAACTCAAGCACACGTAATGGCGTTAAAAATGTTTTTTTTGTCTTTTTTTAAAATAAAAATATAGTGGCGGTCCCATGAGTACAGTAATTCAAAAAAAGTATAACAGTAAGTGATTTTCTTATGATACAGTCAAAACTTTCGAAATGGCATAGAAGAGGTACTTAGTGGCACCTTTCCATCTGGTGCGGACACTTGAAGAAGCCCAACTGTCACATTTTGAAAAACATCCCTATCAGTCAAGAAGCAACATCCCACTCCAAAAATAAAGAAGTCTCACCTCAGATTTCTTCAAAGATAAGGAATTAATGATTGTTCATTGAAAAGTTCATGAAACCAACAGGGGTTAGGCAATTGTCAAGAGACCCATCATCACCAAGCAGTTCAAATGGTCCAAATGGTTGTGAACGGGATAGAAGAAGCTTTCGCTTAATAGGCTTCCGTGTCTAGTAGCAGGGGATCACCAAATCCTCCAGGCAGGAACGTAGGTATGTTAACAATAAAAGAGGTGTTAGTTATCATTCTGAACTCGAGAAGAATATGCAATCAGTAACTGTAAGTAAGTTAAAAGAAAAGCGAAACATGGTTTTTACAAAAACAGAAAATCTCAGTTGTTACAAAGAAAAACCGAGCAATACAGTGATGGATCACTCAATACCTTTGGAGATATATCCCTTAAAACAACAGGGATTCCTTGTGTTCCACAGTCGTCGATGGCGATGTTTCTATTGTGTCTAAACCATAGTCGTCGAACCCAAAAAAATTGTCATCGGTATTCATCTTTTCAGCCAAACAGGCACTTTTCATGCTAATAATGTTATTTTCGCTTCTCTACATTCCAATAACACCAACGCCACAATTACGATACGCCTGTTGTTAATCATTATTCACGCCGAAGCGTCTCGTTTATCTGACGCAAGCTCGCTGAATCTAAACTGGATGTTCACGTCTTAGGGTCATCACTACACCACTAAAAAGGAGCGGGCTGTAGCGGTAAATAAACCCCCAAAATAATTAGTTCTGCATGTCTTCGATATGGATGCTAGCTGGAGGTGCCCGTTCATGAATCCACACCAGATTACGAATAAGCACGTGGTGCTACGCTTCGCTTACTGCTAGTCAGCTTAGATTAAACTCATACTGATATACCGATAGCCTTTCGAAAAATATCTTCCAACCTCTTCATTTCTGACTGCTGGCCTGACTGGATTAGTATACTTCGATTAAAAAGGTGCTACATGTAAAGGGGCTATCAAAGCTCGAATATCTGCAGCACTTTAAGCTTCCTCTAAATTGGTGACTCTGACTCAGGTTTCATGGCGCTTTACTCTAATTTGACTTATCGCTCCAAACTAACTGCTCATCGTTGCTCATTTTTCGTAAGTAATCGTCTGTTGGCTTTCCGCAACCCCAATAGCACAGACTATATATCATCACATCACAAAATCGTTTCCAACTACTTCAAATTATTAAATCTGAATGGCTGATCAAATGCTTTGATCTTGTTTAACAAGCCCGATTCATAACTTGAATGACTCCAAAAAGCCTTCGTATGAAGTGACAATGATTACGATGCAATACGAATTCTTGCATTCTTGACGTAAGCTAAATAATAGATACTCAATTAATAAGTTCACTTGGTATAGTTTGCTTGTATCTTCGCTTAGTAAATATCAACTTCAGTATGCAGGCACACCCAGCCGACGAGTCCCAAATCGAACGAAACGCCCGTCAGGGATCCCACTGGTATCTAGCGCCCATCTTTGCTCATTTTATTCAGATATTATACCAAGCAATCAGCTCAAGAGGTTTTTTGTAAACGAATATGTTGTTGGCCTTCTGCTTGCCATTGGTAGAAACAGAACACACAAAGCACCTCAGAATGTTGTTTGAGCGCTTAATAATATTACGCCATTATAAAAACAGAAAAAATTGGATTTAGAAGAGCAACCCAGTTGTTATTAAGTAACACTGAAACGTTCAATAAATTACACCAACTGAGTAGAGTTCGTATTTAAGAATTTCAGTCGTGAACAAATGGTGACATATCAATGAAAGATTTCCACAAAGTGATTGAATGAACGCATTATAAATTACGTACTGAAAAAAAACTGTTTAAGAAACATACGGTTATCCATAAGGACTAGGAAATGATACATATCCATTAATCCGCGGAGAATCCCTTTCGTAGTGTTCAATACGCGTGAATAACAAGGATTTTTCTTTTGAATTAAGCTGCTGAATTTTAAACATGAAAGGATAATTTCATTGGTGATTTCATTTCAAGTTCTTATCTACCTTTTCCATTATGGAAGTTGGGATCCACTACAGAAGCCTTATATATATATATATATATATATATATATATATATATATATATATATATATATATATATATATATATATATAATGGATATATTCTGTTTATATGGCAGAACAATACAATTGGCGCAAAACGGTAAAACAGTAAGTCAAAATACAATGAGAACCACAGAAACGTGACTGTCGAACGTTAGGAGGACTTAACAAGATTAAGTCAATGCGTGTTATGTTGACATGAAAATGGCACGATTTCATGATTGGTATGGTTGAGACTTATGAAGTCATATGAGAATTTATCCTTCCTAAGCCTATTTGACACCAAGAAATACGTACGACCGCCTTTTAAATTAAGATCTGAGCTCCAAGAAATCGATTCAACTAAAGTAACATTTCACAAAATCATCACATATGTTGGATTCCTGTCTTATTTTAGGTTTTACAGTTATTTTAGTTCTACTTAGCTTATATACACCAAATATCCATTTAAAAAAGGGCCAATGAGTATATGACATGGTTTTGAAGCAACGCTGTTATGTAGTATGATAATCTGTTCAGATGAATGGTTTGCGTTAGGTTGTGTCGATTCCAGCTTTGGAGTAACGGTGTTAAGTTGAGTTTGACCTTGAATCTCGTTGTCACGTTTTATTTGGGTCGAAATTCATCAGGTACGGGGAATCAAATGCGTTTTTTCTCTTTCAATTAATTTACTGAGATATTATGAATGTTTAGATGTTGCCAAATATCGAATCCTCAAAAACCAGCTGCTGATCAATTCAAGTGATCAGAATCTTACGACTAACGATGAACAATGAAATAAATGGGCGAAAAGTAACACATTTCTTCGATACCTCAGCTCACCACAGTATGGTTCTTTATCACAAGTTACAAATTCTCGTGTTTTGAGAAAAAATGTGAATCTGAATGTCCGTAAATTTAAGAACTTACATGTCTAAAATGTCTCATTCTGTTATTGCTTCAGGAACATGAGAAAAACTGATTGTTTTGACGAATAAGATTTAAAACTGTTAGAATTTTGGTATGTTTCATCCAAAACAAAAGTTCATTAGATCACCACTGTTCTCAATTCAGTGTTAGATTACAGAAAACAACAATAATGCTTGATCATTAGTTGTACTCACTAATCTTTTTTTCATCTGCCACTATCGGTTGTTTGGTTTTGAAATCATATAAATGTGATTCTTATAGGTGCCTATGAATTCTCCTTGAAAATAATACTGTCACATAAACACTGTAATCCAATAAGTAAGATAGGTATATACCTTATTTCAGGTAGATGTTTTCATGCCAAAAAGATCTCGTTATTCGAATATGACAGGTTGGTCACATTCTTTCTACATCTTGTTCGGCTATCGTATAAACATGTATCTAGGACGTTGGAGCGGATTCACGCAACTAATCAATGAAATAATGCTGGATCCTAAAATATTAAAAGAAGAGTTATTACGTCTGTACCATTTGGAACAATTGCAAACCAGTTCACAACCGATGGATGATAATCACCTGTCAACTTCAGCATGTGACCACATCATTTACTTGAATGTAGAAATTACAAGCCTAAACCATCGTACCTAAATCCACCAATTATCAGTTCATTATTCTCAAACCTAGTCAAATTAAGACGTGTTTCAGATTTCGATTATATTTCGAATTTCCATCAATGTAGTGTTTCTTTTAATGGTGTATAAAAACCAATTTACAGTTTTTGGAGAGCTTTAACATTGTCTCTTAAAATTTATATTAGCTCAATACGTTAAGTGGTAATAATGTGTTATATTTTTACCTTGCTTCGAAAGTGTGATTATTACTTGGTCTTCGCTTTTGGAACTGCTCAACTCCCAGCCTGTAGTGTTCTACAACTATTCATTGATGCAAATAAATAGTGATGTGTAAAGCTTTCCTTTTCTGTTTTTTAAACTGCGGTCATTCAAACCGATAAACTTTTGTAAGAGAGTTTCACACTACCTCATTTTCAATCGACGGATCAATAATTATTGTAAAGCTTAGAGTAAGCATAATCTCGAAGTCAACCTTATTTTGCATCCACTTAGATCCTAAACTTCGTAATAATTTTGAAAGTAATTTTATCCCGTGATCGCATATTTTCTTCTTGAATCATATCTAGTATGCTTAATTACTCTTCCTACCACAAATAGTTTTATTGCATGTACAACTCTGGCATCTCTGGGCTGATGTGCTGTTTCTATTTCAGTCAATTCACGTATGTGCCTCGTTTTACGTTATATGTGACTGACTGATTGAATAACACTGCTGGACGCTAACCTTAATTCGCTTGTTAAGTGTTTTCGTTTCTCTTACTCGTAAACCTTTAGACAACAGAAGACTACTGAATTCTGTGTTCACATAAACAGCGATATATTATAATTTTTTAAACAGGCTTTCAAAGTGATCTGAATCCCTTTTATTCGTAATTTATATGCTATTGCTAATAAAAATTAATTTAAAGTAGTTTTGTATACATCTAGGCATCCGAATGCTCGTTTAAGAACTGCAGTGACCTGTAAATGGATAATATGAATATGCACACCATCGATAGTAAGACTTCTTCACGGAATTCAGTGAATTTAGACAGAAGTCGTCCAACCTTATTTAAGTAAGTGAGGTTCAGATGATAGCTTTACCCATTTTGAGACATCAGTGTATTTCTATTTAATTTGTTTAATTTACTATTGGTCTGATCGTGTTAATATGTACTTGCTTCTATATATTAACTAACTCGTTAATTTTCATAACCTCATACATTATTGGGGTTTCTTTCTCTTATCGTTCATCTTTTTTGGTTGCACTGACATTGTAAAGTTCTAATTGTGAGGTGGTGTTGCTATCCAATTCACTTATCACAACACTTTTTTTAGTAATCTACTCAATTTTTAAATAACCAATCAACTTGTTAAACGGCTTATAGCCTCTAACTAAAACGTCTATCTTTATAGCAAAATGAATATTATTCGGTTGTGCCATTTTGTTTGAATAATCCTCATGGGAAAATAGGGTGTAACTCAAACTATCATAAGATCACTCTACCAGACGATCTCACTAATTCAACTAATATTTCCAGTGGGTTATCTGTTTTATTTTATGCCCCAGAATACCCTTCGGTGTCTGACCACTTGATGGTCTAACTTGACAGGACTACAACTGCATTCTTCTCATTGCAAATATATCCAATCTAACTGTGAGTTGTTTTTGGTTAGGAGTTTCGTATTACTTACGTACTTACTCCTGTTACCCCTCGATGGAGCGTAAGCCGCCGATCAAGATCCCTCAACTAAGTGTTTAATGGGCTCCTCTTTTCACCTGTTTTCAAATGCTATTGATTATCTTGATGTCTGTCTCTAATTCCCGGTCCCATTCGCTATTTTATATTCCTTTTTTCCTTCTCCCTTCAAAATTTCAAGTTAGGGCATGCTTTGTGATACGTTTTAATGGTTTCTGTGCACTGTAATCCATTTACCTTGAGAGTCTATTTCCAATTTTCTATTCATCTGGAAGTTGGTTTGTCCTCTAACACAGTAGGTTGTTGCTGGCGGTTTTCGGCCAACATATATTCAGTATCTTGTTTAGACAATCGTTTATAAATACGTGTACTTTTTTATGATGGTTGTAGTAGTTCTCGAAGTTTCAGCTCCGTACGTGAGAACTCTCTTGACGTTTGTATTGAATATTCCGACTTTGATGTTGACTGACAGTTGTTTTGAGTTTGATATGTTGCCCTCGCTTTTCCGACCCTTACGTTTTCATCTGTATCAGATCCTCCCTATTTATCAGTGATGCTGCGCGGATACATGAATTCTTCACCTCTTCCAGTGCCTCTGCATTAAATGTGATTGAGTTAGTATTGACTGTGTTGTATTTGAGGATCTTGATGTTTTCACTTGTGTATGTTGAGGTCTTTTGCTGCAGTCTTTCGGCACCTGTCCCTTTTCACGAATCTTCCTAAATTGAACGTGGAGCGTTTTTTCAGTTACTACGATGGCCAATTTAAGTGCCTAAGCTGATATGTTAGCGGGTTCTTCTGCTTTTCTACTCTTGGCTTTTCTGATGGCCATTCTGATTTCCCAACTGTTGGTTGGTTGACATCTGTAAGAAAGTTTATGTGTGCTGCATTGATGTCGGAAAGGTTTAATGAGGCTAATCTATTCGAGCTCTTCAAAGTTCTCTACTCACATGTTTCACTGTCGTTGAATTTCAGTGATTGGCTTGCCTTCTTTGTCCTTGACTGTTTACTCCGGTCTACAATATTTCCCTGCTAGTTTTTTCGTCATATCACATAGTTTTCTCATATTTCCTTTTCTTGAATCTTTTTTCGCTGTCACTGCTAGATCTTCTATGTATTTCCGCTTGTCGGCTCCAATGCTACTCCTAACTCTCTTGTTTGCTTCTATGTATTCCGCCTGTGCTTTCGGTTTCACCGTTTTCATTTGAATGCCGTTAAGTGTCATCCTTTTGTTCTTTTTAAAAAAATCTTGTCCAGAGTTTTGGTAGAAATCCATTCCTTATGATTATGTTTCTTTCAGCCATGCACCTCCTGGGATGTTGAAGTTTTGGATAATTTTTCTGGTTAGCGTTTTTTAGCGAGTTAGTTTTCTACGGGATGGGGTCACTAACCTCTCCTCCTTTATCCGAGCTTGGAACCGGCAGTGGCCCCAAAGGAGCTCCAGGCGGAGTTGATTTTCAAGTTAGTGCTTCGTTAAACACTTGTCAATTGTTCTCCATAGTAGTTTTATCTTTTTTGTGTACATTTTGTTAGGCTTGGGACTTGTTTCTGGGGGCTATTTTGAGTTCATTAGGTTTGTTAGAATCTAGGAGGAAGGCTGTGCTAAAGTTTTGAAATTCTGTTTCTCCATGTGTCCAGTACCTCATTAGCTTCAGTTTAGTCCTGACCAAAACCAGGTAATGACCTGATACCGTATCAGTCCCTCTCTTCGTTCTTATGTCTTCCATGAACTTTCGAATGTTTCTGTTGGTGAAAATATAATCGGTCTGGTTTTCCGTGATGTGACCCGGTGAGACCCATATAGGTTTATGCATGCCACCTACAACCATTTTTTAAGGTACATAGATTTAAAAGTCTTTTACTATTCTCATTTCTTTCTCCAAGTTATTGTCGTCTCATGATATCTTCATACTCAGTGTTGTTCGTTCTGACTTTGGCGATTGTGTCTGCCATCAGGATGGTCAAGTCGCATCCTGAGCACTTCGCTATGATCGACTGCAGTCTGTCATAAAACCGATCTTTAGTGTTTGTAGCTGTCATTGATGGGTGCATAGCATTGGACAGGATTCATTGTAATCTTTTTCTTCGTTGTGAAGGATTATTTGACAATTCTGGATTCATGCGATTCCTACCCTATAAGTGCTTTTCGTGCTTCTTCGAACATCATCAGTGAGTATTAAGCAACTTCTTCTTCATGGTCAGAACACAACAGCGTCTACACCGGATCTAACCTTTTCCATCTAGTTTGAACCAAATGATTTTTACTTATTCTGAGTACTGCCAGGTTTTATCTCCTCGTTTGCGTAGCTATTTGGTTTGTCCTCCTGGTTTCCGTTAGCGTCTGGAAATTCCATACATCGATATTTATTGTTGTTTCGGTTGTCATAAGAAATGTAGTTCACGAATACTAGAGTTAGAAAGACCAATTTATTGTTTATTAAAAATTTACAGAATGTCTCCATAGACTATGAAAATCAAACAGTAAATACTTCACTTGCGCATTATCCGTCAATTGTCTCCTATAAACTCCACAGTTCCTGTTGTTATTACAATTACTTCATGTCTACATTCTTGTTCTCATCATTTCGATCTTCTCAACCTTCTGCTTCCAGGCATTCCATTTCTGATTAGTGTTATGTATTACTTATGTCGACAGACACAAGTGGCATACACTACACGGACATCGGCCTCGTGTTTACTGAAGAATCTTGGCTTTCATCATAAGACGTCCTAATTCTTCGCGATGAAGATCCTTCAACTTGCAGGGCGAAATTCAAATGGTTTGAATAATTTTCTCCGATTAGGGTTTTTTAACAAGGTTGTTTTCCATAGGATGAGGTTGCTAACCCTATACCAAACCCTCCTCGTTTATCCGGTCGCGAGATCTGCAGTAACCCTAGAAAGGGTACAGGTGGACCTATGTATTCAAGAACAGTTAATATTAAGATTGAAAACTAAGTATCCCTGATTAAGCAATAGAATAGCGTCACTAAAGTATTCTATATGAACAGCCTCCATCACCAACAGTATTGTCTTCGCATAGACTGGAGGAAGAGTCATAAAAGGTTGATCTTAGCAATGGTATGTTTTTTCTCGTCCGACTGATATACGTTGTCATTACTAAGGTTGGAAAATTACAGGAACCAACACTGGATTATGAAATACCTACGTGCACAAGTAAGCTTTAAATTATGGATCACCTCTTCAAGCTTTCCAAGAAAAAAACATTCTTCGATGAATGAATCGGAAAAGCTTTAATCAGGAACATACATTCATCCCAGTCACTAACAATTTTCTTTGTTTCTTATATTTGTGCTAATATTTATAACAGCATTATGTCACATCCCAATAACCTGTTAAACTTCAAATGACTCCAAAAGCCCTAAAGTTACCGTAGCTAGAACACTTGGGTATTGTTTTTTATTTGGGTTATCTGTCGTATGAACTATTTACCGTTTATAACTTCTGATCTTTTTACTTTTTTGCTTAATGTTTTTTATGTAGGAAATTTTTGCAGAAGGCTGCAGAAACTGCTTCCTCCTCGATAGACTTCAATTTGTCATTGAGAAAAGCGGAGAAACGATATGCGTTTCACCCTGAATCATTCAGTAATTTGATACTTCAAGACAAACCCACGTAAGACTTTATCTATGTGATTTTTTCTATTGTATTTTTCTTAAAAACAATCAATGCATCCTTTTTTCTACACTCTTTTTAAATCATGTAAGCATTTTGAAATAAATTATTCCTTTAGGTCAATTCTCTATCAGCTAGCAGTACACATTCGTATAATAATTATCTTTAAAGCATTTTCGTTTCAAATATTTATGTAAATTTCGTCTGTCCTTTACCTTTTCATTTTATCATTTTTCTAAAGCTTAGATTTACTCATGAACTTTAATGAAAGAAATTTTGAGTATATACCAAATAATGATTATTTTATATATGATCTCATTTTTAAACAATTAGCTGTGTTATAAACGAAGATGGATAGTGGTTAGCAGTGGAATTCAGGACGCGCCCTTCGTCCTATTTGGCGCTTGTCAGCTGAATGTACCTGCGTCTCAGAGTTGATGTTCACTCTGGGACTCACACCCAGTACCATTCGTTTTGAACGCCATCACGTTATCCACTAAGCTACTGAGTCCTGATATCAACTTGCTTGTGCAATGGGGTGAAGTTTAATTCACTTGGTATTGTTTTACTTACATGAACTCTGAGATGCGGGTACATCCAGCTGGCAAGTCCCAAATAGGACGAAACTCGCGTCCTGGATCCCACTGCTAGCTACTGTCCATCTTTGCTTATAATGCTAGTAAAATTAAGGCGATATTGAGGCAATACTCACATAATGCACATATGCCAATAAGAGACTGATCAATTGCAGTCCTAAACATCAATGGGAAGATCCATGTAAAAAAATATCAAATGAATTAAATAGCTGTGTTATTTACTCGATTAGTATCAATTTAGATTTTGTGCCTGAATTTCTAACTGGAAAGCAGTGTTCCTACTTTTTAAATATGCTCAGAGAGCTGAATATAGATCATTTTTTCTCACTTAATATCAAAGTCTTATTTGTGTAATAGGAATAGATGTAATAAGTTCATTTCATAGATATGTGGTTCAAAGGTGTAACTGACATGAAATATCTAATAGTCAACAATCACAGTTCAGATTATGGATTTCTTCATACTAGAGAATTCTTTGTGCGAGTAGTTTTTTTTTGTAAGTAAAGTTTTCAATTTTTAACTAGTTCATAATTTATTGCTCAGATCACTGACGTACTTAGAGAACAAAGTTGTTTTCGGTATCTGTATGATAATTATAGTGTTATTTGAAATCTCACTCCTGCAGGTTTTCTACTGTATTTAAACCAGTTAGGGATGTACTGTCCATACAGTGTTTGTTTGACTCAAGCGAACAGATATTACCTAATAATAATGAAATAATTATTAGATTACAGCCTGCTGTTCATTCCCCGTAAATGTTGTAGGTGTATATCATTGTTTAGTCCATCTTTATTTTTTACACAGTTTTTGAACTGGTTAAAATTTATTATGGGATCTAAAAAGATATTTGAATTCGTAAGACATTTAATTTGAAACTGTATGCCCTGTGTTTTTTAATAAACAGCCTCCATCGAAACAAATCAATGTTGGAAGTGAAAAAGCATACTATTGACAGGGATAAACAAAATCCATCAAGGCGTAGAAGAAGTAAGTTATATCTATATAATAACGAGAGCATTCAGTTAGCATTAGTTAACAATGCAGTGTAAGAACCTCTAAAGGAATATTCACAGAAAAAACAACATGAGTTGGTAAAAATAACATTAGAAATGAAGAATAAAATAGAGGTATGAGAGAAATAAGGTTAAATCATGGAGATCAAATAAGTATTCAGAACAACTGCTGCATAAAATAACAAGTCATCATTTTAAAAAAAGGCAAATACCAAGTACGTCTCCAACGTGGTTACTTACTTTGGATCAATTCATCCAAATTGTTTTAAATGATAAATACAAGTCACAAAACAGATTAAGTGTGTATACTTTGTTTTCAGCTACATTTATTGTCTTGTAGTTAGAAATACAGCACAACTTTCACAGGTGAAGTAAATAAAACTATAATCTAAAGTATAGACAGATGGTTTACTGTCGAATACCTAAACTATTTTAGTAGGTTGGTAAAAACTTCAAATATAAAATTTCATGATATCGACCTTCATTAAATTCCTGTGAAATGATTTTTTGGTTTGATAAAACTACCGAACATTTAACTATGCATCACTTTTTTATTAAGTGGATAATTCTTTATTTGTGTTAGAAAAGAAATCTACAAGGAACGAACTTAATGAGGAACTCACCTCAAACCAATCCATTTGTTTATTGTTAAGTTATAGGTGTACGTTCTTGATATAGAGAGATTTCCAGTTTTGATATTTCTTTTAATAAGTTTATTGCATACAAAATACACTGTTCCCATTAAAAGAATATTGATAAACAGTTGTGATTAGTCTAAACAGATCATGAATTTCTTTCGAACTATTGAATTTTCTGTCTTGTGGATAAACTCCAAAGAATTCACAATACTATACTTGACGATTTCTATATCGATTAATTGCAGGATTTATATTAGCCATTTCATTACAGCGTGATAAGCAGAATTATTCATCTCAAAAACTAGTTGTTTGAAAAAGGTATTTTTCTACATTTTAAGCAAATAATACAGTCTTGGTGTTGTTGTTTCTTCAGGTCTCAGTATTTCAAACAAGTTCTCTACAATCAAACTCCTTTATTTAGTCTTCAACTGGCTTGGTGGACACGAAGGATCCACCTGGGGGAGTTGGAAAACCCTGATTCCAAACTAATCGTGCACATGGGCCCCAGGATTCTGAGGTAACAAATGGTGTATGAACCAACCCGCTACTATGGGACCGCATCTCCTGACGTTTCCCCACTGCCTTGTAGACCAGACCTTTAGGTCGAAGACTCCGACTAATGCCCCCCTATGAAAACCACCTCCTTCGGTTTAAGCACCCGGGTAGTATCACAACCCACACATAAACCAAGTGACTTGTGTGGCGCATGTGTATTCCATGTTTCTTTGTACCGATATTCATGTGTTCAAATAAATAATAACTTTCATCACTTGGTAATACTTTCATCTTACATCTAAATAATGTTTTCTGTTCATGAGAACTACATCACATTGTTTATTTGGTCTTGAGATCAACTAATTATAATTAAAGTTTGCGTAAAGCATTTCTTCGTTTATTGTTCAAAATGTGCTGCAACTCATGCTTACAATTTAATTACTTAAATCAGTAATTAAATTCTGTAGACTTAGAGCGCTCGATATCACCGTTTGATGGAGACACTAAATCTCCAATTTGTGAGTACGGGTTTACAAAATCAATTCCAACATTCATTTTACTAACCATTTTCTTAAATGTAACAAAACTCAACAACAACAGAAAGTATTTTTTAACTCAGTCATATCAAGATTAACATAGTAAAAACTATGAATATACTGACCTCAATTTCATGGAAACTTTTCAAGAGTTTTTTTCTAAAGACCTTTCACTAATTTGATGCATGTCTTTTCCTTTCGTGTTTTAAAAAGCGTCTTCATGTAGTTCGAAAAACCTTTTTTTAATATTAGAAAAGATTATTGATTGCATAAAATCTTCATCTCATTTCAATTAATATTCAAATGTTTTTATTAAGCAGTACAACAATAATGTCGCGAGAAGGTAGTCAGTAGGACTTCCCTGGCAGTGACTGTATACGCGTGGTTATGTGAGAGAATTTCGAGAGGAAGAGCTATCTCGCCCCACCCTCGGCCGTATCAAGGCATTCGGGGGCAAGTAATGAAAGTAAAGAACATGGTAACAGACAGAATGGAAAATAACTAACATATTTGTTAAAAAGATTAAAGTTTGATTGTAGAGAACTTGTTTGAAATACTGAGACCTGAAGAAACAACAACACCAAGACTGTATTATTTGCTTAAAATGTAGAAAAATACCTTTTTCAAACAACTAGTTTTTGAGATGAATAATTCTGCTTATCACGCTGTAATGAAATGGCTAATATAAATCCTGCAATTAATCGATATAGAAATCGTCAAGTATAGCATTGAGAATTCTTTGGAGCTTATCAACAAGACAGAAAATTCAATAGTTCGAAAGAAATTCATGGTCTGTTTAGACTAATCACAACTGTTTATCAATATTCTTTTAATGGGAACAGTGTATTTTGTATGCAATAAACTTATTAAAAGAAATATCAAAACTGGAATTCTTATTTGTGCACTAAAACAGTTCATGCCTAAGTGTAGAATAGGCACTCACTTTTAATTTGACAATGGTTGTTCATAAATTATTATTCTTTAATGGAGTCAATATAAAAATCAACGAGTGAGTAACTAATTTTCAATTTTTATAGCACACACTTTTCACTGTAGGCATAACAAGAACATGATATTCCAAAAAAAATGTCATCATTATTGGTTTGTTAATAATATAATGTGAATATAAAATGATTTTCCTACGGCTTTTGAATATATTTGTAAAGTTGTAAGCTTACAGCTATTTATACGGTAATCATTCATATTGCCATCAGACAATAAAATTGTTCTCTGGAAGATGTAGATTCCTTCACATAACTGGGAAGCGTCATCAATGAACAAGGTGGTTCAGATGCAGACAAGGCTGTCTACTTTCTCCCTCCCTCTTTCTTCTAGTGGCCGACTGGATTATGAAGACATCGACATCTGAGGGAAAACATAGAATACAATGGACAGCTCAGAACCAATTAGACAATTTGGACTTCGCAGATGACCTAACCCTCCTATCACATACACATGAACAAATGCAGATAAAGACAGCCAGTACAGCAACAGTCTCTGCATCAGTAGGTCTCAACATACACAAGGGGAAAACCAACGTCCTCAAATTCAAAGCGGAGAACAGCAATTCAATCACACTTGATGGCGAAACTCTGGAAGATGTAGAATCCTTCACATAACTGGGAAGTATCGTCAGTAAACAAGGAGATTCAGATGCAAACGTAAAGGCAAGGATTGGCAAAACAAGGGCCGCATTCTTACAATTGAAGAACTTATGGAACTCAAAACAACTTTCAACCAGTATCAAACTGAGAATCTTCAACACGAACGTCATGGAAGTTCTACTGTATGGAGCTGAAACTTGGAGAACTACAACAACCACCACCAAGAAGGTACAAGTATTTGTAAATAGCTGTCTACGCAAGATACTCAACATCCATTGACCGGATACCATCAGCAACAGGCTTTTGTGGGAGAGAACAAACCAGTTTCCAGCTGAAGAAGAAATTAGGAAAAGACGATGGAAGTGCATAGGACATACATTACGCGAATCGTCAAACTGCATCACTAGACAAGCCCTAACTTGGAATCCTGAAGTGGAACGGAAAAGAGGAAGGCCGAAGAACACGTTATGTTGGGAAATAGAAGCAGATATGAAAAGGAGGAATAACAACTGGAAGGAGTTGGAAATGATTGCCCAGGACAGGGTTGGATGGAGAATGCTGGTGAGCGGCCTATGCTCCTTCACGAGAAGTAACAGGCGTAAGTAAGTAAGAAGTGAGAAGATGTTGGATTCAGCATGTAGATTTATAAAACTATGGTTTCAAGTCACTAATGGAAATAAACACCAGAATTTTAATTTAATGAATAAATTATGATCTTAGTTCTGTTATCAAGATGTTATGTTTTAACTATAGCATTATTCCATATAATCATTTATAGTTGAACTGATTTACTTTGAAAAGTACAGTATTCCTAGTTAGAATTCGTGGTATAATTCATGTTAGAAATTATTTCATCTTGATTAAAATCAACTTCGTTGCTGCACATATATATTCATCTTCATATTTCTCTCAATCTTAAGCTACATTATGTTATGTCATATCCATTTCGCAATTGTACTGTGGTAAACGATGAAATCAGGTAGGAAATATGAAAACTATACATTAAATACACTATTTCTTTCAATTGTCATCTATATGCTTCATGATTCGTTCAATTATTTTATCCTAATTAATCTCTATTTTTCTTTCTGTTCTCTTCCACTCAATCTTCTGCTGCCAGGCATCCCACTTCTGATTAGTGTTATATACTACTTATATCTATCAACATAAATAGCATTCACCATAGTAATAGTTTATTATATCATTTTTATGAAATAACTCTTTACTTTCTTATATATATATACTGTAAACAGTAGTCATTTTAGTTTACTATTATTATTGACTTTATTCAATATTATATTTTTCGTACAATATATAATTCTGAGCGCAAAGTATTTTAACAAGTTTCTGTTTTTTATTTCTTGATCGACCCTTAAGATAAATATTGAGTGATTGCCAGTTAAATGTTAGCAGTTCAGGAATCGACATCTGATTAATGTATATTCTTTCCGATGCATATTGCCAGCAACCACGATATCTGTGATTGGGCTCTTTTGTAACTCATACACTGCAAGGTCGTAAACCTTTTACAAACGTGCCTGAATAGATTATTTGACCAATAAGTATAATGATGTTTTGAAACAAACAAGAAACTTGTTGAAATATCCAAATGGCAGAAACAGGTAGCTCAAATATTCAAGCAGACTGCCAAGTATTTATAGTTTTGATATATTTGTAGCGTTTACCTTCTTTCTGTTCTCCAACTTATTGTCTTTTTCATTTTGTAATTTTTGAGGTAATAACTTGAATTAGTGCACTGGTGGTAGATTCCTAGTCACTTTTATTGTTTAATTTTAATGTTTAAATTGTCGTTTTGTCTACTGAGCGGTTTTAATCATCATCACCATCATCAGAATAAAAGCGTCTTATCAATTTTGTATTTGTAATTCAGCTGATTGAATAGTTAATTATAACTAATAGGAAGTTTTAAATTTAGTTCGGTTTTTTTTGTGAGACCGATCGATAACCACAAACTAGGTAATCCTCTCACAGAAAATCAAACTTACACTACCATATCTACAAATCTTATTGATAAACCAGTTTTAATACTCTGCTAAACAGTATTCACTTAACTTTGTCAATAATCAGGGCATTAACGTATCACTATGACTACAATTCCATCTATAAAGGGCGGCCTGTTTGGGCATCTGGGCTACCTGTTCGTGCCATCTAGATATTTAAACAAGTTATCTATTTTTGTTTGTTTCAATATATCATTATGTCTTTTATTCGCATACCCTATTCTGCTGCGTTTCTGAAAAGTGTACAACCTTTCGTTGTCAATGTTAAAAAAAACTCAATAAGAGACAATGTGGTTGCTGGCAATATACAACGAAAAGAATGCACATTATTCAGATGTTCATTTACTGAACTACTAACATCCAGCTGGCGATCACTCAATATTTATCGCCAGGACGGACCAAGAAGAAAGAAACGGAAACTTGTTGAAATACTTTGCGCTGAGAATTCTATATTGTACCAAAAATATTATATTGAATAAAGCTGATAATAATAATAATAATAATATTGATTTAATTAATTTTCCTACGTTTTTGATTTCATTTTATATTTCTGTCCAAAATTATCCATTTGTATTTTCCCAACTCTTTTCTTTTTTTCAAATAAAAACAAACATAGAATTGCAGAAATCTTATACTACTGAAACTGATATTATTTCATATGAAGAAGATAGACAGCAAAGTCTTCTTAAAGTATGGCGATATGATATATTAACTCATTGGAAATCAGGTTATCCATCTAAACATATAAGACAATACTTTTGGGAAGGTGTTCCTTCAGCTATTCGTCCCCAAGTAAGTAAAGAAAATTTTTGGAGATCTGTGGCGACACCATAATTTATAGATGAACCAATCAGATATGAGGTAATAGGTCTTGGATTTTGGCGCGAAATTCATTCATCCTTTTGAATAAGTAGCGTTTTGGCATTTTAGGTGATGTCAGTTCGTGATAAAAACTCTAAATCTAGTTCTTAGCTGTAACCATCAACTTTAAATCATAGTTCTAATTCCTCACACTGCTTTATAACCTTCATTTAGTCATTGTTAATAGGTGGACATTCTCAGGGTCACTGTAGCGTCGCTTAAAGGTCGTCTGTAAATTATAGTCTCGCCAGAATCTGTTAATAACAATATATAAATATTTTTTTAAATCAATCCATTTTACTATTTTTGTGAATTGTAATATTTTAACGATATTTAGTTTGACAGTAAACCTATAGATATAATTAATTGTGATTAAGCGAACTACTTACAGATCCGTGTATTATGCTACTAATCACGTCTGTTGTATAGATAGTGTAAAAAAAAAACAATATTAAACAATCTGAATTTCTGTAAATGAATCAAGCTTCAAATTTATGACCCTTGTCATTGACAGTTAAATATTTTAACTGATGACTTATAACTTCAGAATTCAGTTGAAACTGATGGTCAGATTAGTTAAATATTTAAAATTCAATGAATTAATCATTTAACAGTATTTAACTCTAGTACTTAACGATCTGTTTGGTGAGAGTAATTCAAACTTGAAGCAGCAGTTTTTTAAAAATAAGTTTTGTTGCAACTGTGTACGTCGTTTTTAAAAACTTAATTGATATCTGTTGAGGAGATCTAAAGAATTTTTCGAAAAAGTCCATAGGGAACACTTTACTCATCTAAATTTCCAGGGGTTGAACTTCTACCAGGAGATTCACTTGTTGACTTGGAATATACCGATGACATAGTTCTATTTGGTGAAGACGCTGAAAAAATGCAGAGTCCTCTGGCCACTCTAAGCAACAATGCAGGCATGTTCGGCATGCGATTCTCCACCTCGAAATGCAAAATGTTGCTTCAGAATCGGGTTGCATCGACACCCGAACTAATGATAGGGAGTGAAGTAGTTGAGCGTGTCGACCGCTTCACTTATCTTGGAAGTCTCATCAGCCCTTGTGGTCTGGTGTGTGACGAAATCTCAGCACGGATACAGAAGGCTCAATTACTGCTTATACTCTTACTACCTCTACCACTACGGGATTTGAATCGACAACTGCATCTCTGTGCTAATGTAGTATGGCAACTCGAACTGACGTACGTACGTACAAAGTTCCACGTTGTTACTGACTGACTGACTGATAGATTTAGCCTGTAGTTATTAGAAGAGCTAAGGATACCAATTCAAGAGTTCATTTAAGAGATTTATTACTTTCATCAGGGAGAATCGATATGAAATAACAAACAACGTTAAAATCTCGACTTAAAATATTTAGCTTATAAATTAAACAACTACTCTATCATCATTCATTTGGTATTGATTGTTTGAATCTTCCCATTGATTTTTAGGACTGCAACTGATCAGTCTCTTATTGAAATATGTGCATTGTGTGCTGATTGCCTCGATATTACCTTAAGTCACGAGCATTATATGTGTTTCGTTGAATTTTGATGTACTGTTTTGTGTAAATTTTACAACCTCACTAACTATTATACATATAGTAACAAAGCGACTAAGTTTTAAAAACATGTTTCAATATTTCCAGTTATAAATAATCTATTCATTTATGCATTCACAATCAAACAGCTATTCTGCTTAATATATTCTATGTAGTTTATCCTTTAAAAAATCGTTCTTCTAATTCCATGTATGTATATATTGAGGTTTGAAATTAAAATCGTTAGACACTGGCTAGATGTTAAGCATTCACGCATGTGGTTGAAAGACCTGGGCTCAATTTCCGTGTGCTGGATCGTGGCTGAACATTGCTGAGGAGCCTCGTACTCAGACGCAACTCCTTTAAAGTACTTCTGTATTTTCACTGGTAGTCTAACTTAGATCGGTCGATGATTTCATGTTGGATTCGCCTTACTTCTATCGTAAAGTATACTTTGATTTCATGTTTTAATTAATTCAAAGGTCAATTTTATCCATACTGAATTCATTATTCACTTATTTTTTAAATATCTGAACTTTGCTATCGAATGATAATAAGTAACTGTTCATAACTAATTTAACTTAAAATTAGTACGTGTAAGTAGGTCTGTTTAGATTTGGTTATTTTTATTATATCCACATAATAACTAATTTACATTTGAGTTATTTAATTGCTCAGCAATAAGTTACGTCAATTATTATTATGTTTATTATCGGCCAAGTATGTAGGTATTTTCTATATGATTCATAGAATGCTGATTGGTTGGTATTCTGCTTTATGACTTTACTTATATACTACGATGCCATTTGATAGTAAGTAGTATCAGGCGCAAATTTATCGGCTTTAATTTATGTTATCATCATGTGTAATACTCTTAAACTAAGATAACCGATTGGTTCCGTTAGATAGTGTACGTATTAGAGGCCATACTTGTACTCATAACAGTTATATGATTGATAATGTCATAAGAACAAAGTTAATACATGCTGGGTTTAGGTCAGATTCTCAGCTGTGAACATTAACACTATTATGCAGGTATATTCAACTGATGAGTTTCGGATAAGACCAAACGGATACATTAGATTTTAATGCTTACCACAGTTTGATATATACCGAAATTAACGTGATTATCTCTTGCAAACCTATTTTACTGTAAATTTGTTGCGAATGGTAACTTTGAATAGGATTGTACACAGGAGAAAATTTAATGTTCAATACGCATACTTTTAGTTATGATTAGGTTTAACTCCATTCTACTGATGTCTGTTTGACATTTGACTATCGCTATTGTTCAATTGTATTCTGTTTCATTAATGATACTTGTATTTTCATGTTTTGTTGGTTAAATTACCGGTTAGTGCCATATGAGAAAGTAGTTAACCGTGTAACGTATCAACAAGAATTGTGTATTAGATGGGGAAGTATCATGAACTACGTGAAAAACTGGCTGTTTATAGCAGAGTTTTTTATGTCACGGTGACTAAATTCATTATACTGTCTTGTCTCAATTGTTTGTATATAGTAACATTATATATATTTCAGAATGATTTTGGTTCCACTAATATGTTGAAATATGTTTTCTTTTTGTTTCGAAAGGTTTGGTCTTTACTACTTGGTAATAAATTAGGAATAACTCGAGAATTATTCAATACTTGTCTTAGTCAAAGTAAACACCATATTAAAACGAATATCATTGAACATTCTGGTATCATTCAATATGAGACAACAAATTCTAATCATAATGAACATTATTCATTATTTAACTTAAATAACACTGAAAATTCTACATTTAATTGTTCTATGTGTAATTTTATATTCAGTAAATTGAATACCATACCAATTAAACGAGAATTTACACATGTCCCTTGTGTTACTAGTAATTTAACAAATCTGCATCAACATTATAGGAAAAATTCTTCCGAAGGGGAGGAAGTAATAGAAGCATTTGTTTCAACAAACTCTTTCAAAATAGATCCATCAGATTTTGAACAATCAAATCGAACAGGTAGTCTAGTTGTTTGTTTTTTTAAATTGATGATCAAATGTAATTCAATAAGAGGTTTGATAATTAAATTAAACTTTATTATATATTACCGGATAGTAATAGTGTTGATTGAAATATACCGTATACTTATTAGCAATGAACTATGTTTAAAACAATCTTGTAGAATATAATAAACTTTAATTGAGTTGTTGTTTAGAAATTACTAGTTGGTTAGATATTTTTCTGTTTTTCTCTATAAATGCCTAATCATTAATTTATTCAGATAGCTATGTAGTGAACTAGAACACAGGTGGGGACAACCAATCTATTATTTCATACGAAATTACAGAATATCTTCGTAAAATATAAGAATCATACATTAAATACTTCATTTGCAAATCTTCCGTCAACTGTCCTTCCCATTCTATATGATTCTTCCAATTCACGATTTCTTTCTATTTTCCTTTCTGTTTTCTTCAACTTGACCTTCTTATCCTTCTTCTGTCATGCATTTCACTTCTGATTGGTCTTATTACTTATGTCCGTCTAAATAAGCAGCATACACTACAACTATACCATATCTATTGAGAGTTTTTGACGTGTAATATCTTCCACGTAACTAGTTAGTTCATCTTCGCTTGAATATTGATTTTAATTCACAGAGAACTGACCATTAAACATGGGTATAACAAAGTCTCCAGTGATGATAAAAAAGTTATGGATATAGTTTGTAATCATTATTGTTGCGTATAGTAATATCGTTGTGTTTTGTTTACCAAATATGACAATATTACCTCGAGCATACAGATTGAAATAGTTAATTCTGTCACGAAGTTGTATTTTAGATTATAACTCACACAAAAAAGATTGACTGTAAATTTGTTGAGTAATGTCAAGAATTACATCATAACAGTAGTTAATCACTTTTTCGATGTATATACTAAAAATAATGTAAGAATATACGCCAATTTACATTCATGATCAAGTGGATAGCGATGTTAAATGTGTAAACGGCAGATATATAACTTTGGATTGTTTGGAGTGTAATAAGAAAGATTAGTTCAGCGAAGAGTTTTCTTTTCGGCGAATTCATTTTCAAAGCTGTACAATCGTAAATATATATACTTATTTTAATAGGATGATAATAATACTGATAATAAACTTCTGTTAGGCATGTTGATAGTGAGGTTAAATAAACAAAGTTATGAAAAAATTCTTTTAAAAACAAGGAAAGCTTAATAATCGTTTGATTGTTACTTGCTTAAGTATTCATCAAAAAATAGATAGGGAAATTATCATTGGGAAAGGATGGCTCAGTACGATAAGATAAAATGTTGAACTTGAGATTCAATGTAATTAGAATGATCGTGGAAACAAAATAAACCAGTTGGGGGTAGAGGATTTAAGGGGAAGATGGGAGGTGAAGCATATGACTGTAAAGGAAGAAGAATATGAGAAAGAGAGAAAAAAGTTATAAGACATTAAGACCATGGTAGAAGAAAAGGTTGTACCAGTCTCTTATGTACACACAATTCTGGTTTTTCCAGATGTATGCAAAGAAGATGCAGTCTAGTTGTCTTTAGAAGACTTCTACTTACCTTGTAGACGACTTTGGAAGCGGAGTCTATCTTGATTGAGTGAGCCGTCTTCACAAGGTGTCCGAATAAGTTCAATAATCGTCTAATAATCCGTTTACTAAAAAAAATTCCAAAGACCCCTCGACAGTAAAGGAACTTAATGAGTTTGTGCGTTATTCTATCAAACTTGCTGAAGTGTAATAGTTGAAAATTAATTAGGCAGTACGTTTTTTTTTCACATGAACTAGAATAATAAACGATATCAGTTTGGAACCATTAATTTTTAGTAGGTGGATATCCAAGGTCATTTTCGGTACTATTACAGAATAACTTTATTCATCCATATCTTCATGAGTTCTATGTAGAGATTATTGTTATTATTATTATTGTAGTTTGTCATAAAATGTTTAAATTATCCATGATATCGAGTTGACAAGTGAATTCAACAAGTTGTTTCATTGTGAAATTCTTAGATTAGTTTTTAATATAATTAATTCATATATTGACCTTATTTTCTTCTTATCACATTTAATTACATATCATCGTAGAATAGCAATTTTCTTCATTTTGAAATTAATTTCTACTTTTAAACTATTCCATTAAATGTAATGGATTCTATTACATTCTACTCTCTTTTTCTGTATGTATGCAAATGAAGTTGAAACGAATATAGTCAGATATAGTGATAATACTGTTCATCTATAATGTAGTGAATAGGTTACAATACTTTTTTTTACCATAATCATGTTGGAACTTCCATGTAATCTCTTGTCACTGGTCAGAATATCTATCTAAAATAAATTATTCAGTTTATAAAAACAGACGAATAATGTAGGGTATTTGTAGAATTTTTCTTCGCATATCCTTGAGTATCTATGTCATAACTCCTAATTCAATGGTACTCGAGTGATTTTCAATTTCAAAAGGGGTAATAGTTACTAAGAGAATTCATTTTTTTGATTGATTGGGAAACAGCTTTCGTTTTTAAAATTTTTTTGAAATTAGGATTTCTCTATAGCTTTTATGTGTGTTATATTATTATTATTATTTTAGTTTGTTAAATAAACAATTCTATTTTTCTCACTATTCATTTATAGATCATACTATGAATTTGCATGCAATTAAAGTAGACATGTATCAAATATATCCAACATTGAATTTATTCTCACCTGGTTATCCATATCATGAGAGATTACATGATTTATTATCAGCTTTTATTACCTATAAACCTGAAATTGGTTATATACCAGGGATGTCATGGATAGCTGGTATGGCTTTGATAGTTTTTGATAATACATATGATGCATTTGTAACGTTTGCAAATATTTTAAATAGGTCATATCATCAAGCATTTTATAGTATGGATGAAGAGAAAGTAAGTTGAACTATTTTATTTCATTCATAATGTTGCGCAACCATTTTTCATTATCTTTGGAAACTAACTACCTTCATCCAATACGGTTTAACTCCATTGATCATGGCTTCTCATTAGAACTCCGAGAATTACCTCTCGAAGCTGGTCACTAGTGAGGACATGATAAATATCAGTATAAAGTTGTGAAGATTGTTGATTTTTCATTACTTACTTACTTACGCCTGTTACTCCCAATGGAGCATAGGCCGCTTGATTTTTCATAGACATCATGAACTAATCGATGTTAGATTAACATTGCAAACTTGGAAGGATTGCGTCTTCACGGTTTTGTACATGTCACCCAAAACCAGCCTCTTATGGTCTCGTGCACTACTATGGAGTCCCATAGTGAGAAGAAACGGTCTTACAGTGTTTTCATGTTAAAAATAAGGCTGACAATAGATCAATCACTTGGTAGTTACCAATATCATGTGTAATTCTTAGCGCTAAGTGAAACGAATCAACTTTATAATAGACCTTAGTTGCAAGTAGGCAGTTGTAAGTTTTTTCATCACATATTAAGGAAATTTTAAACTTGTGACCGAGTTCTTTTTCTAATTTAGTAATTACTATTAGAAAGTTTGACATTTTGGATTTGTTTTTGCGAATTAATTATATATGCTAACTACCCAGTAAACTCAAGTGCTTTTAATGATGTCTGGAAGATAATTACTAATAAATACCAATGGAGCTATCACTGTAGTTAGTAATCTTGTCCTCGTATGTGAGAGGCAATTCAATTGGAACGCATATGTCATTTATATTGTACGATGTGTTGCAGCTAATCATGATTGAAGAACGTGCTTTTATATACATGTTGAGTGGTAACAAGTTGAAATAGTATCATTAAGAAACTTATTGAGAAATTATATATTTGTATTGGAGTTATTTACTGTGATCAGTGTTTCGTTTAGATTTGGACTAGTTTGGTTGGGTTTCTTGGTAAATAAACTTTATAAAACTTCTCAATCGGGCAGTCGTGAACAATTTTAAGAATGACATATATATACATCGGTTTAAGTTGTTACATTTCATCAACACCGAGAGATAGATTTATCAGGGGAAATCCCAGAGTACTAGAGGTAGTGTTGGTGATAATACAGAAGATTAGGGATACAATATATGATTCAATAGAAATATATTTTAATAGTTAAGATCATGAATCAATTGGAGTTAGACCACCATGGAAAATCTGGAAGCACTGAACAGCCGTTTCGTCCCAGAATGGGACTCTTCAGTAGTGCGCATCTACGAAAAATATCGGTAGACTGAAACAGCTTTCAGGATAATTAAAAAATCTAGGATGTAGATGAATACAAAGAGTGAATATACAAGTGCTATTGCGAACTATTTTTAGTCAGATCGCCCAAGTCTCTAACCATTAGTTATGTTAATCACATATACTTCAACTCGGTAGCCACCTAAAACATCAACAACACAGTACATTAGACTTAATGAACTGATGCCATGTCTTGACTTGGCCGCCCTTAGCTCTCTTTCAAACTATTCATGATCACGCGTCAAGATAAATCTCATTAAACGTTGTGCAATGTTCAGTGAGAAGATTTAATGAAATTTACTGTTTATAGGCACTTCTAAACAAAATCTATACCAATATTCACTTTCTTCTATTCATTTGTTCTTTTTGTTAACAAAACCAAATAAACTAATTATTCTCTTATATAATTTCTTTTTTACAGTTTCTACTATATTTTAATGACTTTGATAAGTTGTTCTCTAGGTGTCTACCTCGACTTTATAAACATTTTAAAGAAGTTGGTTTCGAAACAACTATATTTCTGTTCGATTGGTTCTTTACATTATTCAGGTAAATAAATTATACAACAATGACAAATATTATAGGCTAAAGTGAATTCAGTTTCATTTAATATATTCTTTCAAATATATTCACTAATTTTCATTCTCTTATAAAGTGTCTTACATTCAATCAAGAAGCTTCAGAAAATTTAAAGTTTTCTACTTATTGGGTTATTACAAATATACCATACTTATTATACACTAATTTTTACACTATTTTTTAATAGCTGAATTCATGAGTCAATTGAAGCTAGACCACGATGGAAAACCTGGAAACACTGGATGGCCGTTTCATTTTGGTATGGGATTCCTCAGCAGTGAGCATCCAAGATGACGCCCCGCGAAATTTGAACCCAGGACCTATCGGTCTCACGCGCGAAGGCTTAACCACTAGACTACTGAGCTGGCATACAATGGTGTTAATGTCTAACTTCAGCCAATCCACGAAATCGCACCACTGTTGGATGCCGGCTCAGTAGTCTAGAGGTTAAGCGTTCGCGAACGAGACCGATAGGTCCTGGGTTTGAATCTCGCGTGGCGATGATGTGAGCGAATTCATTTACCTAAACGTCTAGATTGATCCGAGATGGAATAATTTATTGAACAGTATTGAATATTGTTCAATTCATGATCTCAATTAAAACCTAATAATCTCCACAACCATATACTGATAATATTCAAATAATAAGACTAGTTATAATAACTACATATTAGAAATGAAATCTTGACTAAATAAATAATGGTATTATAGTTGGTAACTAAACGTTGGTAACAAAGTTGAAGAATGCATGTAAACGTCATAGATTAAACTGACGAAATAACATTTCAAATTTTTCGAGAAAAATGAAGAAGGTGTTGATAGCAATGAATCAGTCAATACACACACTGCAACACGGAATGACTAGAAATTTTCCATAATTGATTAGCCTCGTGTTGTGTTGACGTAGGTGAATTCTTCTGGTTGTTTTCTATAGACTTGTAGTCGTTCTATATCTAACCTTATCTGTAACCTTGAAGTCACTTATCCTTGTTCTTACTGGTTGACAGAGTAATTCACTTGCGATATATCTATTGATTGATGCGTTACCAGAACTCTATGCTTCTAGAAGCATAGCATCAAAATAAACACAGAAAAACTGCCACAAATCTACGAACGACAACCAACCAAATTCATCTAGGTCAATTTTGGAAAATTTATAATCATTCATTTCTTATTGAAGTATGTGTTAACGCTGTTGTCTAAGAAGACTATGAAAACTTCACGAATAAACCATTCTCAACACAGAGAAAAGAAAGAACATTCAAAATAAAAAGTTGTGCTAGTTTGTTACGTTGATTATAACTAGACAATTGGAAGTCGCTATTTTAAAATTAATATGTTTTCATCAATACACATTATAGATAAAAAGTGTATAAAGAACTATGTATATACATACTTTGCATTTTTTTAAAAAAAAAGGAACAATGTCTGCTATTTGTAATCAATTAATTCATTTACTCTTCTTATTTACATTTGTTAATATGCTTACACAATTTGTATATCAAATTACATAGATCTTGAAAATCTTACTAATTATTCCTTCAACAACATCATTATTAGATATTGTAAATTCTAATCATTCCTGAGTTCGCTTGAAGTGACCTTATTCTTCCACATTACAAATATCACATTTTCCACACTCACTAACATACACATAAGTAAGTTTCATACTGAATCATTTTGACCTAAATGAAATGATATAAACATGATCAGATCTATTTTAATGTTGATTATATTTATATTATTCCTCTTTACTCCGTTTGTACTATTTAAATTTGTATGGATTTAATTCGTCTATTTATTTATTCTCTGAAAGGATAAGATAGAATACATTCCCGTGAAATTGTAGTACATGCATTATTCAATGTTCATTGTGTGTGAAGTTTCATGCATTTCCGGGCACTTTTCCGCTATTATACAGATAGTTTTAGAGAACTGAAATAAAGTCTCCAGTAAGAATCATACACTTATACTCAAAACTTACTTTTAATAAATGCTTGAAAACGCTAGACACTAAGTTTATATTGAGCATTTTTGAAAAATAATGTTCGATCTCATTCGCTTACACAAAACTTCATCAATTCGACTTTCTATCAACTGGACTTTACAAATATATTTTTATATTATTAAAACCCATGTTTTCTTTCTTACTTATGCTCATTGAATTAGCCTTTTTTGTGTAATTATTGTATCACTGTACTACTTCTATCATCGTTATTTCTTTCTACTCTCATTCATCTATGTATATTTATTTATTCTTTTATGTTATTATATTCACCTTCCTTTATCTATCTCTTCACAATTTGACTGTCTTATTGTGTGGTGCATATTTGTTTTGGTGCCTTTGTTTACTAATGTTTACGTATTCAAATGAGTAAATAAACAAGTTGTATCACATAATAAGTAATTTAAGTAATCTATTAGTTGTTTTTCATCGCACGATACATTTTCTACAACAACATAAAAGAAATCATGTTGTTTAACCACAAATAATGTGGTTTTTTTCCCTTCCAAATATACTCCTACAGCATATGTATGCGTAGGTAAGCAAATGTTTAGAGTAGTTCTCATATGAAAAAGTGTTCTAACCATATAATGCGTTTTACCGAATACTCATAATCCAAATATACCATTGTCAATCGATAAGAAGTCTTAGATAAATCCAGTGTAGAGTTGGTCTAGAGGGAGAACATTCGCTTGAGACTGAAAGTTCTGGGTTAGAGTCCTGCGTACATGATCGTGGATTCACACTGCTGAGGAGCCCATACTTGGATGAAACGTCTGTACAGTGCTTCCATGTTTTTAATAGTGGTCTAACATTGATCGGTTCATGATCTCCATGAAATTATAATAATTGTTTATTATTGAGAATTTGATTTCTTTTTTTCTAATTTATTCTTTATCAAATTATTCATCAAGTCGAATACTTCCATTAGAAACATGTATACGAATATGGGATTTATATTTTCTATATGAAGAATCTGCTTTGTTTTATGCAGCTTTGGCAATATTGAAATTATGTGAAAAAGATTTACTGTCTAATAATTTCGATGACTTATCATCATATTTATCTAGTGCAACATTACTACAATCACTGACACCAGACCTATTGGTAAGTAGTAGTAGTAATAGTAGTAGCATTTATGGACTTTTAATTATTGTATAATTTACTTAAATAATACGATAATAGTTCATTTTGATATTTCTTATCCATCATGTATTGTTTATGATTTATTGGCTAAACTTCAATTTACTTTATTATAGATATTAATTAGTCAAAATTGACCGTTAACTATAGTTTCGAGTCCCGTGAGCAGGATCATGCGTGCGCACTGCTGAAGAGCTTCATACTAGAACAAAACAGCCGTCCGGTGCTCTCAGGTTTGCCATGGTGGTCTAGCTTTGATTGATTCATGAATTCAATTATTAAGTTATTATACTCTCCACAAAACCCCTTTCTGATAACATTGAGTAAATTTTTATAATTTGGAAAATCAACTATCATTATGTAAAATACTCACTGAAAACAAGAAAATGCATGTAAACATTAAAATAAGGATAAAGAAAAATTTGTATAAATACTATTGAAATAATGTTAAATACAAAGTGTATTTGCATATTTATGCATCGGTTAAAAATTGCTAAGATATTTCAATCACTTTGAAACATTTAGTCCATTTGATAAATTTGAATAGTACAATGATTTTCGTTCTCTTATTACACTATCCAAACTTGAATGACTGTTTAGAAAAACATAAGATAATAGCTAAACTGAGAAATTGAATCAGTCGGAAGTGTTCTTTTAAAATGTTTAGTAATTTGTATAGTTTTGTGATGAAATGACATAGTTTTGGAATCTTCCAACTTTTGTCCACTACGTTTTAGGTTCAAATCCTGCTCCGTCGAATTCAGTTTAAAGAATTGAATGGTAAAATACCCCTAATACATTGAGTGTAGTTCATACTTAGTGCACCTGGTGACTGAGTTAGAGTGATTTTATGCAGTAACTCAGATTGTGATTATGTATGATGTAGATTAAAATTTATTGCATTTGTATTTCCAAATGAATCTCTCTAAACTATCCGTAATGATCCAACCTAGTAACCAGATATGAAGTCAGTTATTTGGATTATATTTACTCATTTTAAAGATAATGATATAAGTCAACTGGTTAAAGTGAAAAAGACCTAGTGAGGGGTTCAAACCTGGTATCCTATAGCTTAAAGTTGAATTCATTAACTAGTAAAACCTTGCTCTACGATTTGCTCATTTTGTAACTGATTGATCACAGTATAACTTTACATTACTGTATTTGTTTATATCCCCTTTACTTCTCGTTAATAATGCTTTGACCTTTTTAGTGCATAAACATCCAGTTTATTATGCGTTGTTCAGTAATTTGAGTCTCTTTTCTTATTTACTGTAAATGTTAGTTAGGAATTTTTGGTGAAGAATATATCATGAAGTAGCGTCGTTTGCTGTTCGGGGATTCAACCATAATTTGTCTTATTTTAGATAGCCAATTTCTATCACTGTCGTGTAAATAATTTATATAACTCAAAGACGAGTTGTGTAAATCTGTCCTTGGTAGTTGAGAAATATATTCATTACAAAGACTGACCTGTTGTAAGTTGCAACAAATAAAGGTAGATTTACTCAGTGTCCGCTCTTGTTATATGACTGCCAGACTGTTTTTTTTTACTGAGTCAATCACTTAGAATAATGTATCAGATAAATGCTTTTTACTGTTCTCACAAATCTCTTTATGTCTAATCAGAAGACAAATAAAATACTTAAGTAATCATATAAACACGATGCAAACGTGCCATATACGAACACTTCATGTGATTTATTATGTATTTTCCTCAGAATGCTTGCGTTAGCTATTACGAGTTTCTTCTCGTACCTCGTTTTTTCTCACTCAATTTATTCATTCAAATTTTACTAGTATCTTATCACATGTGTCTTTTAAAACATTGTTGACATTTGATAGGACCATTGAGTTAGTAATATTGAAGTCAAACTCTGAATACTAGGGAAGGTTATTCAATCGGTTGATTAGGTGGTGAACCTTCATTGACTGAGAGACTTACTACATACATTTAGCTACCGCCTGCCTCTACGAGCTTGTGTAATAGTAAATGGTAGAGAAGCTAAGGATCGTCAAACCAAGCCGCGAAATCATTCCATAAAGCTAGTGACTGTTAGTCTATCTATGTTAGTAAATCCATACCCTTTGATAGAAATCTGAACAATAACCTTCTAAAAATATCTTAAACTTTGAATTCCGAGGATCTATTCTTTTTTCTGTGATCACATTCTTTAAATGTAATTCTTTTTACCATCACTAATAATACTACTTCTGCTACTATAATATTCATCTTAACAATTTCATCTCACTGTGGAAATTTATATCAATACAAATTTGTACCGATTCTTTTTGTTGCTTTTGACTGACCGACTTTCATAATGCATTGATAGCGTTCTCCTGCACTACAACAACCTAGCGTTTAGTTCTCTGTAAACTAAACTATAATTTTTCTGCTTCTACTGTTAACATTATGTAAATGTTATGTCACAGACTAATTGAGTTGTCTAGTAATGATTGTTATAACCGAAGAAAACTGTATGAGCCAATTCACTTAATATTGTTTTATTTGAATCTTCCCATTGATGTTTTTGGACTGAAATTGATCAGTTTCAGTCCAAAAACATCAATGGGAAGATTCAAATAAAACAATATCAAGTGAATTAAACTTCAACCCATTGCACAAGCAAGTGGCTATCAGGACTCAGTAGCTAAGTGGATAACGCGATGGCGTTTGAAGCGAACGGTACTGAGTTCGAGTCCCAGAGTGAACATCAACTCTGAGATGCAGGTACATCCAGCTGACGAGTCCCAAACAGGACGGAACGCGCGTCCTGGATTCCACTGCTAGCCACTATCCATCTTTGCTTACAATGTATGAGCCAATGTTTGTTGCGCTTGATAAGAGTAGTGTGGCTGAGTAACAACTATTCACAAGTCTGAATTACTGACTCAGGAAAACTCTTAGTGAATGTTTATAAAAAGTTTATTTATTTAAGCACATAAACATTTGTACAAACAGGCATCATATAAACATGCATCACACTTCATCATTCGATTTGTGTAAAGGACTGAAATATTGCCCAGGCGCCGAAACCGAAACAGGTGGTTTGCTACAGGAGCCACCTTTCGAGCCCTTGACCTAGAGGTTTAATCCATAAGTTAGTGAAACAACGTTAAGAGATGCAGTCTCATGGTAACCAAGATCCAACAATGGATCCATACGCCGTTTATTGCCTCAGAATCCTGGGGCTCATTTACACTATTGTTTTCGAATCAGGGTTTTCCAACTCCCCTTGGTAGATCCTCCGTGTCGACCGACCCCGTTAAAGCGCAGAATATTTCCTTTACTTCCTCTCAATTTCGTAAACATCGGTAATGCCGCTAGAAGGCAGTGAGGACTTCCCTGGCAGTGGCTGTGTACGGGTGGCTATGTGAGAGCATTTCGAAAGGGAGAGCGGACTCTCCCCACCCCCAGTTGTATTATCAAAAGACGAAATAAAAAATCACTAGGAAGAAGTCGTTTTATATCTAAAATATACAACATTCATGTATACAAAATATTTCATACAAAATAAACATGATTATATATCATTCAATTCATAAATGATAGCAAGTTGTGTGTTTTGTAGGTCATCATTATCAGCTTATGACCAATACATCTTTTTCAGACTTAATCCTTATTGCCTTATATATCAGCCATCCTTTTGTGTTTGATTTGTATGGAGTTTGGTCAATATCGAAGATAAGTAGGTTAATCATTTGGTAAACTGTGTGCAGAAAGATTATTACGAAATTTGGTATTTACACCAGCACTTATCGATTTAGTTGTAGCATGAAAATTTATTTTTTGATATTTGAATAAAGCCAGAACAACCACTGACACAGAGTATTGGGAACTTTTTTCACTACGGAGGATCTCATCAACTTGTTTACGATCATATATTGATATTTGACATAGTATTGGATGATAAACATCGATGACTAGGAAATTTGAAATAATTATCAGTGCTATATATATATATTACTTACTTACTTACTTACTTACGCCTGTTACTCCCAATGGAGAATAGGCCGCCGACCAACCATTGGTTAGGATAGTCACGCGGACCCCAACCAAGTAGTCTGCATCTCCCAACATGACTCAGACTAGAAGTTAGTGACTTCAAGCACTGATGCCACGTTTCGGTTTACTTACTTACTTACTTACGCCTGTTACTCCCAATGGAGCATAGGCCGCCGACCAACATTCTCCAACCCATTCTGTCCTGGGCCTTCTTTTCTAGTTCCATCCAATTCTTGTTCATTTTTCTCATGTCCATTTCCATTTCTCGGCGTAATGTGTTCTTTGGTCTTCCTCTTTTCCTTTGGCTTTGAGGATTACACGTGAGGGCTTGTCTTGTGACGCAGTTGGGTGCTTTCCTCAATATGTGTCCTATCCACTTCCAGCAATTCTTCCTGATTTCTTCCTCCGGTGGGATCTGGTTTGTTCTCTCCCACAGTACCTTGGTGCTAATAGTGTCCGGCCAACGGATCCGAAGTATTTTGCGTAGACAACTGTTAATAAACACCTGTACTTTCTGGATGATGGCTTTCGTAGTTGTCCAGGTTTCCGCTCCATAGAGTAGAACTGTTGTGACATTTGTATTGAAAATCCTGACCTTGGTGTTGGTTGACAGTTTCTTTGAGTTCCAGATGTTCCTCAGTTGTAAATATGCTGCTCTTGCTTTGCCGATCCGCGCCTTCACATCCGCATCAGATCCACCCTGTTCATCAATGATGCTGCCTAAATATGTAAAGGTTTTTACATCTTCCAAATCTTCTTCGTCAATTGTGATTGGATTGGTGCATGCTGTGTTGTTTCGGAGAATCCTGCTTTTCCCTTTGTGTATATTGAGACCTACTGCTGCTGAGGCTGCTGCTACACTGTTCGTCTTCTCCTGCATTTGTTGTTGCGTTTGGGATAGAAGGGCCAGATCATCTGCGAAGTCTAGATCATCCAACTGCATCCTAGATGTCCATTGTATCCCGTGCTTCCCTTCAGATGTTGACGTCTTCATGATCCAGTCGATCACCAGGAGAAAGAGAAAGGGTGAGAGTAAGCAACCTTGCCTAACACCGGTCTTCACTTCGAACGACTTTGTCAACTGTCCTCCATGCACGATTTTGCAGTGTAATCCATCATATGAACTCTGTATGATATTGACTATCTTCTGAGGCACGCCGTAGTGTCGAAGAAATTTCCATAGTGTTGTTCTGTCTATGCTATCATATGCTTTTTCGTAGTCAATGAAGTTGATGTAGAGTGATGAATTCCATTCAACTGATTGTTCCACAATGATCCGTAGAGTTGCGATTTGGTCTGTACACGATCTATCCTTACGGAATCCTGCCTGTTGGTCACGAAATTGGGCGTCTACGCAGTCCTTCATCCTGTTAAACAATACTCTGTTGAAGACTTTTCCCGGTATTGAGAGAAGAGTGATGCCCCTGTAGTTATCACACTTGCTGAGATCGCCTTTCTTCGGTATTTTGATCAGAAGTCCTTCTTTCCAGTCTGTTGGTACTTGTTCCTCATCCCAAATCTTATTGAAGAGAATGTGGAGTATCCTTGCAGTTGCCGCTACGTCTGCTTTTAGTGCCTCTGCTGGAATGTTGTCTGGTCCTGCTGCTTTGCCACTCTTGATTTGCCTGATGGCCATGCTGATTTCTTCAATTGTTGGTGGGCCAACATTGATTGGGAGGTCCGTGGGTGCTGCTTCGATGTTGGGTGGGTTCAGTGGAGCTGGTCGATCCAAGAGTTCTTTGAAGTGTTCTACCCACCTGTTTTGTTGCTCTTCAATGTTGGTGATTACCTCGCCTTCCTTGCTTTTCACTGGTCGTTCTGGTTTGCGGCGATTTCCGGAGAGTTTCTTTGTTGTGTCATACAGTTGTCTCATGTTTCCTTCTCTTGCAGACTTTTCCGCCGTCATCGCTAAATCTTACACATATTTACGTTTGTCGGTTCTGATGCTCCTCTTCACTTGTTTGTTCACTTCTGTGTATTCAGCTTGTGTCTTGGCTTTTTCTGCTCTTGTTCGACTGGTATTGATTGCTGCTTTCTTGTTCCTTCTTTCTTGAATCTTATCCAGTGTATCAACAGTGATCCATTCCTTGTGATGGTGCTTCTTGTGACCCAGGACCTCATGATATGTTGAAGTGATTGCCTCTTTGATCCCCTTCCAGTTGCTCTCCACAGTAGTTCCTTCTCAGTTGAGTAGATCATGAAAGGCCTGGAACTTGTTGCTGAGGACTATCTTGAATTTGTTGAGTTTGTTAGTATCGTGAAGAAAGGCCGTATTGAACTTTTGTGATATTGTCCGCCCCATTGTCCAGTGCTTTTTGAGTTTCAATTTCTTCTTGGCGACCAGCAAGTGATGATCTGATGCTATATCAGCTCCTCTCTTGGTTCTCATGTCCTCTATAGTCCACCTGAACGTTTTCTTGATGCAAATATGGTCGATTTGGTTTTGCGTGGTGTGGTCCGGTGAAATACATGTGGTTTTGTGTATGCGTTTATATGGGAATATGGTGCCGCCTATGACCAGTTTATTGAAGGCACATAGGTTTGCAAATCTCTCACCATTTTCGTTCCTTTCTCCCAGTCCGTGTCGTCCCATGATGTCTTCATATCCAGTGTTGTCCGTTGCAACCTTGGCATTGAAATCTCCCATCAGAATGGTCAGGTCCTTTGTTGGGCACTTCTCGATGATTGACTGCAGCCTATTGTAGAATTGATCTTTAGCGTCTTCATTGTAGTCGTTGGTAGGCACATAGCATTGGATGATGTTCATTGAAATGCCCTCTTTCTTTGTTTTGAAGGAGGCTTTGATGATCCTTGCTCCATGAGATTCCCATCCTATAAGTGCCTTTTGTGCTTGTTTGGACAGCATCAATGCAACTCCTTGTGTATGTGCATTTTCTTCTTCATAGCCGGAGTATAACAAAAGCTCCCCCGAAGCTAGTCGTTGTTGTCCAACTTGCGTCCAATGTGTTTCACTGACCCCAGGCACCTCTAGGTTGTATCTCCTCATTTCTGCAGCAATTTGGAAGGCTCTCCCGGTGTTCCACATTGTCAGATGGGGCATCGGCCTTGTAACTTCCGAAGGAATTCGGCTTTCATCATGAGGCGTCATAGTTCTTCTAAATGAAGACCTTCTGACTCCCAGGGCAGAGTTTAGAAGGCTTGAATAATTTTTTCTGGTTAGCGTTTTTTTAGCGAGTTAGTTTTCTACGGGATGAGGACGCTAACCCCATGCCCAACCCTCCTCCTTTATCCGGGCTTGGGACCGGCAGTAGCCTCCAGAGGAACTTCAGGCGGAGTTTTATATATATATATATATTATGAATAAGCATGAATATGGTTATTTAAAGATAGACATGGAAATCATAAAGAGTGGGGATATCGGTAATGATCTATAATTTGAAAATCGATAAGATATCTGCCCTAGCGATGATAGATTTAAGAAGTTTACATAATTTTTAAAATTTATGGTTAAGTGAAGTGGTATATGGATACAAATCTGGAAAACTTACAATATATAATGAGTGAATAAGCACCCCCAAGAAAATAAATTCGTGATCAAAGTAAGGTGATTAGGTGAAAACGGAATTAATAAGTAATGGTTCACTATAGGTACATCCTCAATATTTAAATTCTGCGCAAAGACCTAGAAATTGCTTCCTCGATTCCGATTGGCTTGCTTCTAAAGTAAGCCTTTGTCGCAGTTCGTTTCACATAAGGTGACGAAACTTGTTGCTTGATAAGCAATCTTCTGAAGTTAATTAATCCTATATTTTCATCCCATTTTACTTTGACTGCCATGGTAAATTCCTAATTTCGATTAAATTGTCTCCAATTATTTCTATCGTTTGTAATTTTCTCCCAGTATTCACTTAGTTAGTTGTTCTTTCATCCACTTAAAAACTATCTTTTCACTTGAAATAATGTAAAATCTTCATCTCTTCTAAATAACCCAGCTGATCAAAAATAAGGCTGTTGACTGACTTATATTCACCTTTAGGTAGTTATCGAGGTTATTATTCAGATATTCCTTTCGAGATCATCTACAAAGTCGGACGAATTGCTTCAGAAATGTTTATAGAATTAGAAAATCGTGTATAGCAATTTACTAATCCAACTCGGATGATATCACAGTTCTATATACATTTATGAATATATTCATTTTAATTGACCGCCAGCTAACGAAACCTGAGTATAATAAAGCATCTGCCTGTAAGCATTTTGGATCTAGGTGCATAGATTGCCGGTTTATGATTTTTGGTCAATTAAAATATTCATTTATGCAATAATAATTACTTATGGTAATGAGAACTAGGTTTATGGTGAATTCAGTCTAATATCCTTCAACTCACATCTGTTCATCTAAGTCGATTCAAGCTGAGGAGACGATGGATATAAATGTTCAGTGAGTTTGACAACTAAATAATTACGTCCCTCATCCTCTTCTGTGTACTTTATCTTGTGGCTAAGTGGTAAATTAGTAATAGGAAGACCACTACATTCAGCTCGGTTACAATCCTTATTTTTTAAATTATTTGTTCTGGTACAAATACCTCAGTGCTTGGTAAGAAAATGTACTTTTGAATTCCATGTATTTCTGTTTCCTTTTTGTAGATTATTTCTATGTATTCGTTTCATCATTTAAAACGCTTCAACACTTCAAATATGAACAAGACACGCCAGGTTGCCAGTCGAGAGTCGTTATTTGCTATGAGTCAACTGCCGTTATCTTTTTCGAAGGATGACGTAACTCAGTCTACTTTTAGATTCTCATCTACCTATTCTATGCCACGATACTCCTTGCATTGTATTCCAAAATCAGGCCCAATCGACCATTCGGTACGTAGTCCTCGCTCAATATCTGATGAGTCTGATGGTGCCTTGGATATTGATGATCAATACTTCAAGCCTAAATCAGGGAAAAATCCTTATACAAAGGTCTTCATAACGCCGTGTAACAAACCAGGTCAAACAGTCGCTCATGGTATGAATGGTGATAGTAGTAATGTAAACGGTACTTTACGTAAAGTGAATAAATCAACAAAGAAAACTAATCGTTGTACAAATCCATGCTTCTTTCGTCATACACATTTACAGTCTTTTGAGGAAAGGTTGGAAGTTAACTCTCATAGAAAGTTACCACAATTTTATTCATCATACAGTTTAGACCATTCAACTACTTATCACATTCCAGCTCTTCGACAAAATATAAGAATTTCAAATATGATCAGTAGAACTTCAACCGAAATGATTCCATGAAAAGTATAATATGAATTACTTCTTTATGCATTTTTTGTGTACACTTACAACGATATAAAATACACTTACCATATACTAGCACACTTTTCTAATGTTGTTTTGTCGTTATAATATGATCCAGAATACAAATTGGTTGGTTGAACAGTAAATATTTTAAAATGAATATATTGTTATGTCTTGCATAACATTTTATCAATGTTGATGGTGAGGTCAATATTTGGAATCAGTGATATTTATCTAAATTTCATGTTTGCAAATGATTTGTTTATTCCTTTATCGTCTATAATACTAGTTTGTAACTCGCATCATTATTAAACCATAATGTTAATTGTTTTTATCAATGAGATTTAATACGTAATTTCTTAAATTGTATTTTCTTATTAATCAAAAAATTCATTTTCATTCTTATTTTGTATTATCCAATTTTAGATTAAATTGTTTACATTGTTTCACGCATATATCATTATTTCACTTATTACGATTTCTCAATTGATTAAAATGACTTTATTCCCATTTAATAGTAATTTAAATGTATATGATACTCAACAATGATTACTTTCAACATGTAGAAGTAACTAAACCTAATTGTATTTTAATGCATAGGGAAGTGCATGGTGCACAGATTACTATTTGAAGGGTATTCAAGACTCCCTAGCCGTCAGATATGTAGATCTATTAAAATCCACAAAAAGAAACACTGTGACTGTTTTGTGAACTTCATAATTTATCTGTAAGCTTTAGAGGTTTTTCGAAACTCTTATGATAAGTATACAGTTAGTCTACATGTGAATTCTCTATTGACCATTCCAAATGTGCTTTTGGCATCCATTACTACTATGCGAACTTTTCTCTAAGTCCCTGACTAATTCCTTCCTGAATACGACTTTTTTCGAGTCAACGCCGAAGAGACCTTTAAGTAAGGCATAAACTTACGTTAGAGTAGTTATGATTGATATACGAGCTTCGGGAGGGGTGACACCAACTGATCGTCGACATCGATGACTGTTATATTTCATTTGTCTCCATTTTTCAACTGATATCGAGGATTTCCAAGCCAAAGTTTCTCTTTGTGCTTTAAATAAGTAGTTATCAGAGTAAACTCTTGACGGAAGGTCTAATCTTATCTGTTTGATGTTATAAAGTGCCCATAGTGTGTGATTAGTTTTGATCTGCCTACTGAATTGATAAAATCCCCTACTGCACTGGCCAACTATACTCGATCCTTAATTGCTTTTTTGAAACGGGATAAGCAATTTAATGTGGGACCAGTATGAGTTTGTTCTGGCAGGAGCCGGAAGCTGTGTCGACGAATACTACAAACGCATCCAGCATACACACGAGTTTCAATGAAAATCCAGTTTCTGAGTCCTTGTTTACTCATTCGAATAGTCAACGGGTGAGTTTAAAGTAACCGAACTCAATAGCGACTACATTTCGGATTAATTTAATTTTCATTTGCATGTAAATTTCTAAGTACTTCTCTATTCCGTAAACTGATTTCATCTCTTTCAAAAATATTTCAACGGTTTATAAATTTAAGAATAATGTGCTATTTTCTAGTGATTCAGTTATTTAGAAGATAGATAAAAACCAGAGAGAGAATTTCCAACAAATTGATGGAATTCAATCTTCAGATACCTAAATCTATAATTTATGTTTGCGTGTTGCTGAAGCTGTAAAAAGTGAACGGACGTTGAACAGCGTCTAGTTTACCAGTGTGAAGCTTATTCAATCGCATGAACAGTCAGTCAGTCAGCTACAACATAGGACCAGGCACATATATGCATCGGTCCAGGTTGCCATACCTCATTAACACAACAAGATGGACACCGGATTCATAGAAGTAGTTTATTCAGAGGTGGTAATATATGAAAGGACGATTGCAATAAGGATATAGTACAGGAAGAAAGAATTAGTTCATAGAAAGAAAGATATGGAACGATTTTATTCTCAGTTTAACCGAAGACAGAGAGTGTATAGACCAACGCCATTGTGATCGATTAAGAGCCATATCACAAAGAGTCTCCAACCATTGGTTACGATAGTCACGCGGACCCCAACCATGTAGTCTGCATCTCCCAACATGACTCAGACTAGAAGTTAGTGACTTCAAGCACTGATGCCACGTTTTGGTTTACTTACTTACGCCTGTTACTCCCAATGGAGCATAGGCCGCCGACCAACATTCTCCAACCCATTCTGTCCTGGGCCTTCTTTTCTAGTTCCATCCAATTCTTGTTCATTTTTCTCATGTCTATTTCCATTTCTCGGCGTAATGTGTTCTTTGGTCTTCCTCTTTTCCTTTGGCTTTGAGGATTACACGTGAGGGCTTGTCTTGTGACGCAGTTGGGTGCTTTCCTCAATATGTGTCCTATCCACTTCCAGCAATTCTTCCTGATTTCTTCCTCCGGTGGGATCTGGTTTGTTCTCTCCCACAGTACGTTGGTGCTAATAGTGTCCGGCCAACGGATCCGAAGTATTTTGCGTAGACAGCTGTTAATAAACACCTGTACTTTCTGGATGATGGCTTTCGTAGTTGTCCAGGTTTCCGCTCCATAGAGTAGAACTGTTGTGACATTTGTATTGAAAATCCTGACCTTGGTGTTGGTTGACAGTTTCTTTGAGTTCCAGATGTTCCTCAGTTGTAAATATGCTGCTCTTGCTTTGCCGATCCGCGCCTTCACATCCGCATCAGATCCACCCTGTTCATCAATGATGCTGCCTAAATATGTAAAGGTTTTTACATCTTCCAAATCTTCTTCGTCAATTGTGATTGGATTGGTGCATGCTGTGTTGTTTCGGAGAATCCTGCTTTTCCCTTTGTGTATATTGAGACCTACTGCTGCTGAGGCTGCTGCTACATTGTTCGTCTTCTCCTGCATTTGTTGTTGCGTTTGGGATAGAAGGGCCAGATCATCTGCAAAGTCTAGATCATCCAACTGCATCCTAGATGTCCATTGTATCCCGTGCTTCCCTTCAGATGTTGACGTCTTCATGATCCAGTCAATCACCAGGAGAAAGAGAAAGGGTGAGAGTAAGCAACCTTGCCTAACACCGGTCTTCACTTCGAACGACTTTGTCAACTGTCCTCCATGCACGATTTTACAGTGTAATCCATCATATGAACTCTGTATGATATTGACTATCTTCTGAGGCACTCCGTAGTGTCGAAGAAATTTCCATAGTGTTGTTCTGTCCACGCTATCAAATGCTTTTTCGTAGTCAATGAAGTTGATGTAGAGTGATGAATTCCATTCAATTGATTGTTCCACAATGATCCGTAGAGTTGCGATTTGGTCTGTACACGATCTATCCTAACGGAATCCTGCCTGTTGGTCACGAAGTTGGGCGTCTACGCAGTCCTTCATCCTGTTAAACAATACTCTGTTGAAGACGTTTCTCGGTATTAAGAGAAGAGTGATGCCCCTGTAGTTATCACACTTGCTGAGATCGCCTTTCTTCGGTATTTTGATCAGAAGTCCTACTTTCCAGTCTGTTGGTACTTGTTCCTCATCCCAAATCTTATTGAAGAGAATGTGGAGTATCCTTGCAGTTGCCGCTACGTCTGCTTTTAGTGCCTCTGCTGGAATGTTGTCTGGTCCTGCTGCTTTGCCACTCTTGATTTGCCTGATGGCCATGCTGATTTCTTCAATTGTTGGTGGGCCAACATTGATTGGGAGGTCCGTGGGTGCTGCTTCGATGTTGGGTGGGTTCAGTGGAGCTGGTCGATCCAAGAGTTCTTTGAAGTGTTCTACCCACCTGTTTTGTTGCTCTTCAATGTTAGTGATTACCTCGCCTTCCTTGCTTTTCACTGGTCGTTCTGGTTTGCGGCGATTTCCGGAGAGTTTCTTTGTTGTGTCATACAGTTGTCTCATGTTTCCTTCTCTTGCAGACTTTTCCGCCGTCATCGCTAAATCTTACACATATTTACGTTTGTCGGTTCTGATGCTCCTCTTCACTTGTTTGTTCACTTCTGTGTATTCAGCTTGTGTCTTGGCTTTTTCTGCTCTTGTTCGGCTGGTATTGATTGCTGCTTTCTTGTTCCTTCTTTCTTGAATCTTATCCAGTGTATCAACAGTGATCCATTCCTTGTGATGGTGCTTCTTGTGACCCAGGACCTCATGATATGTTGAAGTGATTGCCTCTTTGATCCCCTTCCAGTTGCTCTCCACAGTAGTTCCTTCTCAGTTGAGTAGATCATGAAAGGCCTGGAACTTGTTGCTGAGGACTATCTTGAATTTGTTGAGTTTGTTAGTATCGTGAAAAAAGGCCGTATTGGACTTTTGTGATATTGTCCGCCCCATTGTCCAGTGCTTCTTGAGTTCCAATTTCATCTTGGCGACCAGCAAGTGATGATCTGATGCTATATCAGCTCCTCTCTTGGTTCTCATGTCCTCTATAGTCCACCTGAACGTTTTCTTGATGCAAATATGGTCGATTTGGTTTTGCGTGGTGTGGTCCGGTGAAATACATGTGGTTTTGTGTATGCGTTTATATGGGAATATGGTGCCGCCTATGACCAGTTTATTGAAGGCACATAGGTTTGCAAATCTCTCACCATTTTCGTTCCTTTCTCCCAGTCCGTGTCGTCCCATGATGTCTTCATATCCAGTGTTGTCCGATGCAACCTTGGCATTGAAATCTCCCATCAGAATGGTCAGGTCCTTTGTTGGGCACTTCTCGATGATTGACTGCAGCCTATTGTAGAATTGATCTTTAGCGTCTTCATTGTAGTCGTTGGTAGGCACATAGCATTGGATGATGTTCATTGAAATGCCCTCTTTCTTTGTTTTGAAGGAGGCTTTGATGATCCTTGCTCCATGAGATTCCCATCCTATAAGTGCCTTTTGTGCTTGTTTGGACAGCATCAATGCAACTCCTTGTGTATGTGCATTTTCTTCTTCATAGCCGGAGTATAACAAAAGCTCCCCCGAAGCTAGTCGTTGTTGTCCAACTTGCGTCCAATGTGTTTCACTGACCCCAGGCACCTCTAGGTTGTATCTCCTCATTTCTGCAGCAATTTGGAAGGCTCTCCCGGTGTCCGTCGTTGTACGAACATTCCATGTACCTAAATAAATGGTTGCTCTGGTTGTCAGAAGGGGCATCGGCCTTGTAACTTCCGAAGGAATTCGGCTTTCATCATGAGGCGTCATAGTTCTTCTAAATGAAGACCTTCTGACTCCCAGGGCAGAGTTTAGAAGGCTTGAATAATTTTTTCTGATTAACGTTTTTTTAGCGAGTTAGTTTTCTACGGGATGGGGACGCTAATCCCATGCCCAAACCTCCTCTTTTATCCGGGCTTGGGACCGGTAGGAGCCCCCGGAGGGACTCCGGGCGGAGTCTTGGTTTGGCCGCCCCTAACTTTCTTCCAACCATCTCCAACACCGGTTAGCATTGCACGACGTGGTAATCGGTGTTCGGGCATACGTAATACGTGACCCAACCATCTCAGTCGATGAAGATTCACAACCTCATCAACTGATTTACCATCATTCTATAATGCCTTGCGTCTGATTTCACTATTACTTACCCAGTGATCCCAGCAGATGCCAGCAATATTTCTAAGGCAGCTGTGGTCAAATACTAGTAACTTACGAGTGTCTTCTACTCTTAATGGCCATGTTTCGCTGCCGTAAATTGAAACAGAACGGACTGCCGCGCAGTATACTCGTCCTTTTATTGATAGACGGATATCTCGCCTTCGCCATAGGTGACGTAAGTTGGCAAAAGCCAAGCGAGCTTTTCGAATCCGTGCTGAGATTTCGTCAGACACCAACCCATTAGGGCTGATCAGACTTCCAAGATAAGTGAAGTTGTCAACGTGTTCGACTGCTTCACTCCCTATCCTTAGTTCAGGTGTTGCTGCAGACCAGTCATGAAGCAACAACTTGCATTTAGAGGGAGAGAAGTGCATTCCAAATATTCTGGCATTGTTGCTTAGTGCTACCAAAAGACTCTGCATTTCATCAGCGTCTTCACCAAACAGGACTATGTTATCTGCGTATTCTAAGTCGATAAGTGGACCTCCTGGAAGGAGATCAATACCCGAGAATTCAGTAGACGAGAATGTTATTTCCATCAATAGGTCTATGATGAAGTTAAACAAAAATGGAGAAAGTGGACAGCCTTGACGGACACCACTTGAGGTTGCGAAATCAGATGACAGTTCATCATAAGCTCTGACTCGACTAGTAGTGTTCGAGTAAAGAGCCTTCACAAGGTTTATGTAATTCTGAGGTACATCTTTCAGTGACAGACACTGTCATAGAACCTCTTAGTCTACAGAGTCAGATACTGCTTTTAAGTCAAGAAAAAACTATCCTTGTCGGGTGCTGATAAGTATGCCTGTGCTCTGAAAGCGGACTAATGGTGAATAAGTGGTCGATGCAGCCACGGCCAGATCTGAAGCCAGCTTGATTTCTTCGTGTTTGCAGTTCACGAGTCTTGGTTAGGCGCCCGATAATTATTGAGGCTAGTATGTTAGATGCTATATTAGACAAACTAATCCTTCTATGGTTATTACAGGATGATTTTGACACCTTCTTATATATTGGGACGATAAGTGATTGTGACCAGTCAGATGGGATTACGTCCAACTCCCAGATCTTAGCTAAAATATTAGTCAACCTAATCGCTAAAATTGGGCCACCATCCTTAAAGACCTCTGGAGCCAATCCATCTGGACCAGCTGCCCTTCCTCGTTTCAGATTAACTATAGCCTTTTGAACTTCTGCTAGAGTTAGGGGACCTACTTCAATGTTCCATTCACACTGTCTGGGAATGGAGGGTAGTTGTAGAGTAGCTGAAGGCCAGCTGAACTGTTCTCTGAAATGTTCCACCCATCGTTCTAAACGTCTGGACTGAGAGCAGATGAGGGTGTCGTCTTTTTCCGAAATAGTCTGACTTACACTTGGTTTATTAATTCCGGTTTCTTTTATTAGTCTGTAGAGCTGTCTTGTGTTCCCTATAGCAGCCGCCTTTTCCATCTCTTTTGCTTTCGTTGCCCACCGCTGCTCACGGTCGTTCCTTAGACTTTTTCTTACCTAGATCTGATTTGTTTTCGCTCTTCATCGTGTTCAGAACCTGATGGAATGAGTTTACAAGAATCTATCAGTGCAATAGACCTTGAGAAAATCCATTGGTTCTTTGTAACCTTGTGGTTTAAATCACTGATAGATTTCACTGCTGTTTCCACAGCTGTTTGTATGGCTTTCCAAGCAACAACTGGGTCAACCTCGTTTTCAGAACTACCTAATCGTGACCTCAGTTGTTCCTGGAAACTACTTTTGATTTTCTCGCTACTCAATTCAGTTCTAACGGGTCTTTTTACTGAGGCTATTTTGCGTCCAGTGAGGCGCAAGCAGATGCGTGCCCGTATTAGGGCGTGGTCGGAGTCCAAGCAGGTACTCCAGAATGAGTGACAATCTTCTACCGACCCTCTCCAACGATGACTGATAGTAATATGGTCTATTTGAGTCCATCGTTGGTTTGGTGTAGGGGGTCGCTATGTTAGACGATGTCTCTCCTCATGCTTAAAATTTGTTTGCTAAAGATAAAGGATTGTCTGAGCACAGTTGCAGCAGACGATCACCATTATCTGTTCGTTGTGCTGGAATACTAAAATACCCACCTAAATGCCTTTCTGTTTGGTTTAAACTACCTATCTGAGCATTAAAGTCACCTGCTACGAGTACTATGTCTGAAAGTTTAGCTTTCTGAAGAAGTTCAGATAGCTTTCTGTAAAATTCATCTTTCACTTCATCTGAGCTGCAGTCGGTGAGAGCGTAGGCAGAAACGACAAAAAGGCAACGACGTGTGTCCCTATCCTTCTGAGTTCTTACGGAGCCGTTTAGCCGAGCAGCACAAAAACGACTGTTAACGGGGATCCACTCCAACAGTGCTTGTTCCGCCCTCATGCTTAGTGCTATCCCTACTCCTGCCACTCCACGAGAGCTGGCCGTCGGGTCACCAGATACACGGAGAGTGTATCTCGTTGGTCCTCCGTTTTGCCGAGGTGAGGTCAAGTGAATGACCACACTGGGATCCTGTATGCGTGTTTCAGAGACACAGCATACACCAATGGTACGAGATTCTAGGGTTCTAGTCAGGGAAGCCTGTTGACTGATTTGACATAGGGTGCGTACATTGAAGGCTCCAATGTGTAGTTTGGAGCGAGATTTCAGTAGACCTGGGACAGTGTTTTGAGCACTAGAATCGTTGGCTATGGTGACACTTAAGGGGGAAGCCGAAAAAGGAAGTTTAGAGGTGAAAGTCGATGTAGGAAGAATAATAGAAAGTGAAGACGGAGGTTGATTATGAATACAATGGTCTTGAGTGCTGTTAGAGGTATGAGGGCGGTTATCACTTCCCGGTTGTCCACACAGTGGAAGGGTTGTTCTGGAGGTACCCGAAAAGGAAATAGGATTAGAGGCGGTCTTAGTGACCTGGGAGCGTGACCGCAGTGCCCAAGGGACAACTGCTTGAGGTCGGTCACACACGACCTTTTTATGGGTAATTTTTGTGTTAGCTCCGTACTTGTTGAGACCCTACCGCCGGAGACGGATATCCGTGGGATAAGGCGAGGTGTGCATTTTTAGGGTCGACCTTTTCTAACCCCACCCCTCCTTGTGAGAAGGCAGCATCGCTGTCATGCTGGTTGTCTGAAGGAAACACCTTACTGCTGTCACACCTCTGTACAGTCAGCGGTACGACTTCGCCTTAGGACCTTGGGTTTGTTGCTTGGAGCTTATGAGGGATCTAATAAGTAAAACGTTCTTAACCTACTTTATACCACGAGTTCGTTGTCATTTAGGCGATAGCGATCGTCAGTGGACACAAAAAATGTGTGAAAATACGAGCATTTTTTGTATGAATACAATAAACATGAATACGTGATCTACGGGTCACGCGACGTAATAGCACCGAAAATGGGATAAGTTTTTGAAGTCATACATCCAACTAATTCACTGTACTAAAATAAAAAAGATTGGTTCTGAGTGTTTTAAAAAAAGTGAAAATATTGTTATAATGATAGTAATGCGATTACGTGTACTTGATTTTGAAAGTCGTATTGCTTAAATAGATGGTTTTATCCATTCAAAAAGTGACTAAAGAAATAAAAATTGTGACCTAAAAAATTTAACAGTACTTTTACTATTTGTATATTATTCAACAAATAATTACTACTGAGATAATTTAATTACGTGATACAAATTGAAGTAGGGTTCTTCCAGACAAACGATATTGATTAATGACAACAATAGAAAGCAAAAGTCTTTAGTGTGTTCTAACTTTTACAACACTGTACAAAAGGTAAGGTAACCACATAAATATAACAGGTGAAAATCTACATTCAGTCATAAGCAACATAAAACCTGACAAATATGTGCATCAGTTCATATTGCAAAAGGACATCAACATAGCGAGATATTATTAGGATAAGTGATAACTCTACCTAGTCATTCACATAACTAGGTGTCATCTTTTAAACCGATATTCACATCATTCTGAATCAACAAACTGTTTTTTTTCAAACCTACAGTACTTTTAAACGCTTGTTTTGCAGCAAGACGTCTTTTAGACCGTAGATAAAGTTGATGTTCTTTCGACTTTTCTCGATGACGAAGTTGTTGAATTCGGCTATTTTCCCCATTAAAGTGTACATCTAATTTATCATTTAATCTTTGACGCGCTAATTCACGATTTCTCTCCAGCTCTCTACTATCCTATAACAACAACAAAATATTATTAAAAATTAATTATGAACAGGTAAATAGAATACTACTAAATATTTTACCTTGAAAAGGTAATGAGCATTAAACAGTTGTTTTGCGTTACCAGTGTAAATTTGTGGAGATTTTTCAACTTTAACGAGATCATGGACCGATTTAATTAACATAACCATTGAAAACATAGGACGGGACAGGTATTTCGTTCAAGTGTGAGATTAATCAGGACCCAACACGGTTGGACTCTACTGGTCACTGCTTTTGATCGGAACTCATTAAATACCCTTTCGATGAATATACGCACCGAAAGTAATGGAAAATAGTCGCGGAGTACCGCAAACTGATTGGAGTTAGGTTTGTATGTCAGTGAGTTCCGGCTTAGTGGTCTAGTGGTCAAGCGTTCTCACGAGGGACCGAAGGGCATGGGTTCGATTCCCTGTTAGGATGTCATGATTGGGCACTGTTAAGGAGTTCTACACTATGACGGATGGAAGTTCGGAGCTCAGTGGTTTCGAACGTTTTACCAAATGATCTCAGCTCGTTGCGCGAGTCATCTACTTACTAAACCTATCTACAAAAGCGTAAACATGAGTCTCCGGAGATTTTAAAAAAAAAACAGAATTATGTAGCATTTCGAAATGAGGACGGGTGTACCAAGTTTATATTTATCACTAAATTGAGCCCTTTAGATGCGGTCGAAGAAAAACCGAGATTCATTAGCTCGATATCTGATAAAAAGGGTCGCCTGTCCTGTTATGTTGTCATCCATGTACAAAGAAAGCTTCGTCAGGTATATAAAACTGAGTTGCATTTTTTTTCCTATTTCGTTTATTAGGAATTCTATAACTATGTTTTATACATCATTATGTGGTAGTCTGAGTGATGTTTGTATGCATTAACAAATAATCAGGAATCCCATATTCGAAAGCTTAATGAAATACTATTTAATAGGTAGTTTTTACCACGAATTGATAATACCAACATCAATGAAACTACAGGACACTATGGGCAATTACTTCACTTAATTTCTGACACAATGACAAGGGACGATCAAAAAGCATTCACTATACATACTTGTTTAATGGCTTTTCAAGGGATATCTCTTGGATAGAGAAAATGTTTTCTGAATGACTCGAAACCAATTCAACAATATAAAAGTAGCTGGAGAGTCAGTTAACAAAGCAATGAAATAAATGAGACTGAAATATTATCTGAAGTAGCTAAAGGAAATACACGATTACAATATGAAACTAGTCAACGGGTCATACAGTGACCACTGGGAAGTACTTAAATAAATAGGCATTATGATAGCAAGTCATTAATCCGTCTTTTTTGTATTATATAATCGTAGTCATCTAACTGGGGTTGCCACACTGGCGAATGTTGGAAATGGATAAAAACTTAAGTGTGATAAATCGAAACATGGCACCCATCTATTAAGTCATTTACTATTGATATGAGTAGTAAGATAATACCAGCTTTCTGAATTGGCTTCAGGAGACAAGTATAATCATATGTCAAATACATCGGACCATATAGTTTAAAATCAAACTCATTAATACAAATATATCAACTGTCTGATTTCCATTCTCTAATATCAACTCAGTATCGACATCTCGTCTTCTGAGGAGCGATCACCATCGTACCGAGCGTGTTCGGGTTATACACGAAATATCATGAAATACTCATTTCGAGGACAGCAACCAAGTACATAACTACACCAACAGTTAATAGTTGAATGAAAGTCTCAGTATCATGGTCTTATTGCCGTTAGTTTATTTCAAGTTATTTTGACATATTGCGAACTGAATTCGCATTTATGATACATGACTCATTTAATTTAGGCCACTGTATGCTAGCAATGCACTTAAAAAAACACATCCGAAGAAAATTAAACATGGAAAATACCTGACACTTCACCATGATACCTGTGGGAATGTGTTTTAAGACCACACAATTGGCAGTCGTGTTAATTGACTGACCACCTGGACCACTTCCAAGTACATACATTTCAGACAGATCACATTCATTAAAAAGCCACTGATTTTTAGAGTAAAATCTCAATGCGAAGTGATATGGCGATAAACTGCATCTTGTCAACCAATTATATATTCTTAACATGATGAAGATGTAGATGCTTTAAAGCATTCTAAATCTAGAAACAAAACATGCAACCACCTTCAGGAAATTGTAACATACAGTCGCATAAAAAAAACAGATGAAAGAACACCTCAGGTGACACATTTTGAATAATACGCTGAAACAGCAATCAAAAATCGAAAACTCCTATCAAAATTAAAAACAATTTGGATCATCTCATCCATATTTACCGTTGTAATATAAACCAGATATAAGGACTTGTCTATAAGGACAAAAGTTGATATACAAGAGGAACTTCAAACAAGGAAGTAATTAAATCGTTACTTCTGTTCATACGCCTGGTTAAACCTCTTTATGAGCTGAAAATAGTGTAGGCAACCGAATCTTACTCCACAATCCACAAAATCATACATAGTATATGCTGTAATTACATAAGACTGTGAAAATCAATGGATTAACAGAAAGCAAGATATCTGAACACTTATAGAAAGAATAATTCCGTTTGATGATAATTTCATTGATGTAACAAAGACAATATTCAAAACAATCATAAAGCTTTTCCTGCAAAAATAATAAAACATTGCCACTTTACAATTTTTTTTCTTTCACAAAGTGATACCACAGATTACTAGATGAGCTCATATCAGGTAATATCAATTGCGGTCGTAAGAAGCCTAGATCATAGTCCCAGGGTTTCAGAAGCAATAATCCAATGGCCAAACAGAACGATTGGTAAAAGTCTTCAAATAGACCACATAAATGAAGCGATAGGGTGCTCAGTCAAACAATTATTAGGTTTCTGACATAATATCAAGATTCTCCTCATTTCTGTTTTAGAGGAAACGTTACAAATGGTGGTAAACTTGATATTTATTGCTTCTGAAAACCTAAGACTATGATCTAGGCTTCTTACGACCATAATTGATATTACCGGCGAGACTAATTTAGGGACGAGACAATCAGAAGCATTTGAGCAATTTCAGTTATTAGCCAATCAGAAGACAGCATAAAGTAAAAATATATTAAAAGAAAGTAAGGAATTACAGTAGATTTTCTTCTTTTACATGATTTAAAAACTCGTATGTTATCATCCTAACCCTAAACCCTAACCTTACCCGTAAACCTTAACCTAACCCAATGGACGAGTTTCTATTCTATATGCATTGTGAATTCAGAACCTCTGAACCTTAATCAAACCTTAACAAGTTTTTAAATCATGTAAATGAATATCCACTGTAATTCATTACTTCCATATAATATATTTTCACTTTATACTTTCTTCTGATTGGCTAATAATTGTCAAGGTCACTTAAGATTCGTTCAAAGGTCGTCCTCTAATTTAGGGAATCGCTTGAAAGTTTCTGAAAGGCATGAACACAGCACATAACGTCGAATGTATGGTAAAAAAAAAACCAAATCGAGCCGAGTTCAGTGTTACTCTAACGTCTGTACGTGGGTCACCGTATACTTACGCCTATATAAGCAATTTCGAAATATTTTGGCCACTTTGGACCCTTCCCAATACAAACATTCGTTAAACTTCAACGTCAGAATACGCTTCTAATCACGTCTTTTTATTTTATTTGATGCAAGTATGAAAAATAAGAAAAAGTTAGATAACTCATTTACAGAAAAGTCAATACTAGATGAAATCCAACCCAATCTCGTTATCTTAGAGAAATTCTGAACTTAAGGTAGGAAATGTGGTAGTTTTACCCAAAGATTCTGTGAAAATATTGAGGGGAATCATAAATTTCTGCAAGCGTTTTGGTGATTTTCCATGAACTTTGAGGTTTTTATGCCATTTCCTTAAAATCTCTCTGGAGTCTTTTATGGCGATCTTCCTAAAATTTACCCAAACCGGACAAACTTTTCACCAAAATAGGGAGGTTGAGGTCATAGAATGACATTAGCCTTCCATAATAAGGATAGGTCTATTGGTGAGACTATGATTTATGGACGTCCTTTGAGCGACGCTGAAGCGACCCTGAGAGTAAACACCGACTGATTAGAACTAAATGAGGGTTATAAAGCAGTTAGAATTCTCATTTACAGTTGGTAGTTAGAGTTAAAAATTAGATTTAGGATTTTAATCACGAACTGATGTGTGGATGAATTTCGCGCAAAAATTCGCGACTCGCTGTTTAATATCTGCTTGCTTCGTCCACAAATTATAATCTCGTCGTTCTATCGACCTACTGCTTAGTATAAATATTTGCTCGATTTGATCTACCTATTAAACATTTACAATGCTCCATAGTCACTGTGAATTTGAAACTAAAATACAAACAAACGTCTACTTACAATTCGTTGCCCATCGACACTTAAATATGACCTTGACACAACAAGGAACTTCGAGCCTCAGAGTTGGCTGGGTAGGAATTTTGAGTTCCAATACCCAATAAATCCAGTTTCTTTGTCACAGGATTACATAGACCGAATAATTTCTTTTCCCTCGCTTCTTTTTGTCTCGGTATAATTTCATGAATTTCTTTGTACCACGCTTTTCGAACAAGAAGTTTGGTCCTAACGTGATTATCGAACGTTTGATGTGTTCTTACGCAACAAAAGTACCATTTCTAAACGGGAAAATCTATTATGAGCTATAATTTAGGTAGATTACTTTTTTGGAGTTTCATTCAATTGAATAGTTAACAGGTATCGCCTCAGATTACTATTCGGTTTTTATTTTCAGTTTTTCACGTAAAGGCTAGTTCAGTTTATATCATCCGTTTTTATCCACTTTGCTCGTTTTTAGTGTGCTTTTCAGTGTATTTTTGTACGATCTTAGGCGTTTGTTAGCATCTACAACACAGTTTACGTCAATACAGTCATGAAAAATTCATGCAAACGACCTGCATGCCGTTTTGCTGTTACATCTGGCATGCAGTGCGACAACTGCAAAGGTTGGTTCCACGAAGCGTGCACAGATCTCACAGCAACTGCTTACAACAGACTCAGCAAGTCGGATCATAAGTGGGAATGTGTTACGTGCAGCACGGATGCTGTAGTCTTGCTGAGTAATATCATTGTCCTACTGACAGGTCTGTGGAGTAAGTTGTCAGCAAACTTGGAAAAAGACAGTCATAAAACGGGTAGACAAACAAGGGCGCGCAACGCAAACAAGAATAGGAATGTCGACAGGTCTACCATCGATGGAGCATGCATTAGCACTAATGATGACATGTTGAAACTCAGTACCATCATTACGTCGACGGTAAGCGACTCCCTCAGGAAACTCGGGTCTCCCAACTCAGGGTTCTTGAATGCAACAGGGGTTTCCAAAAACTCTGTAGGTGATTGGACCTACGTTGATAGAGCTAAAAAGAACCAGGCGTCACCGTCTAAACTGAACATCTCAAGTGTTGTATGGAAATCAATTGGTGATTTAGTCGCACAGTCTACCCCCAAGAATGTCTTTCCGGTCATCAAAGAGCCTGGGATTCAGAAACGTGCTTCGACCTCCAAACAACAAGGTGCTGAACCTGAACGCACCGGAAAACCTGAGAAAACAATAACGGTTCGTGATGAATCTCACATAATCATGAACCTTAAAGACAACCCTGACCTTCCTCTCAGTTTGCAGAACGAAAATGACAGGATATTCTGGGGTGAATTGAACAAGAAACTTGAACTTCCTAGAATAGAGTCTTTGACGGTCACACGGCTCATTCGGGGAAAGGAATCTAAGAATCAAAATCACCCGAGGCTACTTCGTGTAACAATTAAGAATGCTACCGACGTAGAGGATGTCTTGCTAGCGAGTCATTTACTGAAATCCGATGGGAATGTAAGAATATTGCCTGACATACCGTATTCTGAGCGCAATCTCATCCAGAACATCCCCAAAGAATCTCGCGAGAAGTTTTTCCGCGGAGGGAATATAATTGTGAAAGGTGTACCGGAAAACACGGACCCTAATCAAGCAAACTCCGATATCAAGGAATAGAAATTCATCAAACAGTCCTTTAGGCTTAAAAACATACTGGCTCAACACGTGACGAGACTAGCCAAAAGGGACGGTGATTCCAGAACCCGTCTAATGAGGATAACTTTCCCATCCTCCCACATAGCGGCTTGAACTCTGGAGGCCTTTCGTGCCAACAGACGTCGGTTGCCAGTTGGAATCCACATGCACCCGGATAGGCCATATGAAGCCAGGACCAATCACAGGGGCAAGTCGGAGCTGATCATTCCATTTGTGGACTGTCTTGATGATAAAAAAACGTGTAATGGATAGGGCCCACCAACTCAGCAAACCTCATATAGTTAGGCTGCCCATTCACGTAAGGCTCATACACACAAACAGGAAGAAGCTCACGCGTTTCAAATTGAAAGCATAAACTGCTTATACATGAACGCGCTGGTAACGTTGAAGCGCATTTTTGGCCAGTTTGACGGAAGAACTTTCCATATAATCTTCAACGGTTTTATCCTTCCGTATTTAGAGTACGGAAACATAGTATTTCCTCCCTCACTCCAAACGGATAAAGACACTCTAGAGTGTATCCAACGTTGAGCCACGAAATCAGTTCGAGGACTCAAATTTAAACCCTATGAAGAGCGCCTCCATTCACCTAACCTTTACCCATTAGAGTATAGGCGTCTTAGAGGTGATCTTCTGATGGCTTACAGTATCCTTAAGACTTCTGGACATCCTCTTAAACACCTACTTAAGCTTAGTCCCAATACAAACCTAAGGGGTATCACCCAGAAATAAGAGACATAAAAAAGCAGAACGGACTGTAGACACAACTTCTACTCCTTCAGAGTTGTCAAATGCTGGAATTCGCTGCCGACCGAGCTAGTTCAAGCGACTTCCCAGGAGTCCTTTTAGAGGCAACTTGATCTATTCTTAAAGACTAAGGATAGTATCACACTATGATCTGTCAATTTCTTTTCCTCTTTTATCGTCAACACATCTAGGTTCCTGGAGTTTTTCGTGATCCCCTGCTACTAGACACGGAAGCCTGTTAGGCGAGAGCTTCTTCTATTCCGTCCACAACCATTTGAAACCGTATTCTGGCCATTAAACTAATTCTAGTCAGTTTGGTAATTATTTGTCGATTTGTAACTCTTGTAGTTTGGGTGAGCTGTTTTTTCACGTTGCGGTAGGCTTTCTGGATACCAGTAGGTTATTTGTTTTAATGTGAAAATAGTATATTGTTAATTCAAGTGCTAAGAAAAGACGATCGTTTCAAGATTAAAAAATCGGAAATGTGTAAGAAAACGAAATTAAAGAACAAGAGATTAAACGGAGGCGATGACGACAGAGATAGGATATAAGTATTCATATGCGGTGGTGATAACAGTGGTAATTTTTGAGACAAGCTTCAGATACAGTAAGTTCAAACGAAAGATGGAACAGGTTACTTCATCCTGCACCATCCTTAAAGCCTTGGATATCCCAAAGGGACATAAGGTTGCGATTTCTAGAAGCTCATACCTTCAATGGACCTGTTCTTGACCATTAGTCGCACATTCGCAACGCAACTCTCGTGAAGCGCGCCAACTGTAGTACTGATTAAAACAATCTACATTCATGTCTTATAAATTTTCAACCCAGCTATGTAATTTAATACAGTGTATATTGTATCAATTTGATCTTGCCTATAAACTGGCATGCCTCATGTAACAAACTGTTATTTGAGAATAAATTATTACTATTATTATCTATGGGTGAGTATGTGTTTCTCAATTCTTCGCTTAAAGCTTTCCACTGGGATGGTCTTTGATCACGTCGCTTAAGAAGGTATTTCAATATGGAGTAACTGTTATTGAGAAAAATTAGCAGCGACGTACGCCCCCAGCTGAACAGTCTTTTGAGGGTTCCTTCGAAGAGTATAGTATTGATGTTCTGACATTATGTTATCATTTGTATTGTATACTATTGTCAAATCACCTTTTTTCTTCTATAGCTGTATGAAAATAATCCAGAGTGCTTGATTGATGTTTCAACCCTATTATCCAATTGGTCGCCAGTCTCTTCACTTGGTGCAGGGGACTTATGTCGCTTATGAAGGGACTGCAACGATGTTTTAGACTCAAATGTACGTCTGTGTGTATTTTTTTCATGTGTTAGGAATAGCTCTGAGGTCAATGCATCAAGCTGTCTTAGCATTAAATGAAAAGTTGATACATAATGGCAGTAATCCCTGAGTGATTTGAACTGGTGCTTTGTCTTCCTGTGTTTACAAGCCCGAGATCAGGCATTTGGTACCAGAATTTCCAATTATAAATGATTAATAATTCTAATGGGATTGTTGTGGTTCCAGTAATGTAGCCAAACTTGGGATATCTTGTAAATGTGACTACAGTTCATAAATGTAGATAGTAGATGATTTAGAGTTCAGTTATCCTAACCACAAATAATAGCGAAGGAAAAGCGTGTGTATAACAGTGTATTTGATAGCAGTCGGCAGAGTGTCATGCTATAAGCGTTCAAGGTCATACACTTGAACAACATGTACAATCATTTCGTGGTAAATTTACAGACTGTAGATACTAAAAAAACGAATGCCAATAATATCAAAAACTATTTGCAGAATTATTTTGTCATTCCTATCCCCACAATGCCATGAAAAATAAATTGGACCGTTTTCCATGGAGGGTCGGGTGAGGTGAAATATTCATATCATTTAGTTTTGACAGGGTAATATTAGTTCTCTTGTTTCCTTCCCATACCCCAATTGTTATACAGTCATTTAAAGCTCAAATGAAACCTACTCGCATTTTATGGACCTGCAAGTTTTTACGTCGTCTGCAAAGAACGGGGCTTATTTTATCAAAAAGGAGTAGTCTCAAAATTGCTAATTTCGCAACTCCTGATGTTTAAATCTTCCAACTCTTGTGTGCTGCGTAACATCCTGTTTTGTAAGTGATTTCGGAACCAGGAGAGCTGTGGGTCAGCTAAACTCATCTTTGCAACCTCCCTTTGAAGGATAGACGTGTTACTGTGTCAAATGCACTTGCGAAGTTGAGGAGAATCGCATTAGGCGGTATCTCAATGTCCAAGCACTTTTTCAGCTACTTCATGCTATGAGTAGACTAAATGCCTAAGACCAGCCTATACTGAACTCGTGCTGGGTTTCGTAGAGTATGCCGTTTTTATCCATGTATTCCCTCATCAGCTTATTAACTAGTTATTCCGTTACCATCGACAAGTATTGTGAGTATATCAACCGGTCTATGACAGATTGGTTTTATTATCTATTCATTCTAAGACTGAAGGAAGAGCAGCCTAATTCCATCCTCTTCAGATTTAGTGTGAATCTTGCAGTGTAAACGTCGTGGTAGTTCTAACGGATAGTTTTGAATTATATATCATAGATTATACTAACTCATCCTATCGTGAAATCAACGTTAAAACGTTTA